AACAGAGTTTATATAAAAGTGAGGAGAAAGATGCCTTCACTGTTAACAAAGTGTTGTAAAGGTGAAAAAGACTGCACTATCTTACTAGATGCAACCATACATATTGCTTCTCCTTCCCACAGCTGGTCCTTCACTGCTGACCCATGTCTGACCAGCCAAGCTTCCCGAGGCCTCCCTCGTAATAACATTTATTATGGCTGGAGAAACTGAGATGATACTGAAATCAGGAACAAAAAAACAACATGGAATGGATTACAGCCACAACTTGATATAAATACACACCGTAAATATTGTTCTAAGCATATTTAATGAGTTGTAAAATCTTATGAGTTTACATGATTTTTCAACCTGTAATCATATACACATGCAGAGCTGTGAGATGGGAAGTCTTTATAGGTACAAAGTGTTAACGATTCTTTGAACCTGTGTATGGAAAGGTGTAGGATGACTTGGCATGGATGAGTACAATTGCGTATGTTCAAGGAAGTTCCCCTGATTCCCAGCAAGATGGTTTTATCAAAGATAACAGGAGTTCACAGAATCTTATCCAAGTATCTTCTTCTTGGTTACCTTCTAAAAACAATAAAAGGGTGTTTTGGCAGATACTTGGTAAGGGTTTTATTAAAAGAACATCATAAAAAATTAAATGTAGTTTGAATACACAATGAGACGAGATGGCTCCAAACCTTATCCCAGAAAGAAGTTGCCATCTATGATGGAAATGCATTAAGACCAGAAACAGCCACGGTTCTCTCTGACAGTATTTAATAAAGCTTTGAATCACTGTGATGGGTGAAACTGATAGGCTTGTCAGTACTTGCAGTGATTTACATATCTTCTCATTATTAAAGCACTTGAATAATGACTCCACACGCTATGCCACTTGTGACTTGCATGATTAAATCTTCACTTGACAGTCTAGGCAGCAACAGCAGCAGCTGCGATCCACCCCCTTCAGCCATTTAAAGTCTTACGGAAAGCATGGGTTTTACATGGCATCTTCTGTTTTTCATGACAGCACTATTTGGAGACTACTGCCAGGAAGAACCAGGCTGATGACATCCTAAATCCAGTGTCAGTCTGTCAACTTTCAGAATATGGGAGGAAACGCCTGCGTGATCTGGCTGAGTTTGCTGAAACAGAAGCATTCTGAGGGCTCTCATTTGCTAAATAGCATTAGAATAAACCAGGATATTAGGTGATGAGGATACTGATGAAAGATGCTGACGTTACTCCCTTTTGAAGATAACAAATTCTAATTATTCTGTGCTCTAGTTCTGTTTCTATATGGTTAATGTATTAATTTATTTATAAATGTCTCATCAGCTGTTAATTACACAATGGATCAACTAGGAAGTGGGTTTTTTTAGTAATTGAAGCTTAATGTTTAACAAAACAGTGATTGAAATATTTGATACTAACATAATATCATGCAATATCAGCTTTTCAACTCTCTAACGGTGCCTGTGACTTGTTAGGCTGTTTTCACAGCCTATAATTGTTGAAAGTAGCAAGTTAATCATGACGACCATTTATCAAACATGTAAGAACACTGTCATTCTGATTACTTATTTAATAATTCAATAATAATCATGTCATTATTATTACCATGTTAATAAGATTCCTGGGCTTTCAGTTGTGTATGGGAAGTTTGATTATACATGACATTTTCAGGCAGCTTCTCTGTTGTTTTTTTTTGTTGTGTTTTGTTTTTTTTCCTTTTTATTGCTTTTGCAAGGGAGTCATGGAATAATTTACTAATAAAATATATGGGCTGTTTGCTATGTAAATGCATTCATCTAGCTTAATTGGAGACAGTAAAGAGAATCAAAAAATGGCACCAGTGGTAGGAGACTTGGTAAGACGTGGAACACCCTTTTTAGGAAAGATTTTTTTTTTTTTTTTTAAGGAAGAGTAATTGTTCATTAATATTTTGGGGAGAGTGACATACCCATTGCCTAAGCAGGGTGTCTGATGGTGACACACCTGTGTAGGCTACTATTAAAAGATCATAAAAACACAGTCAAGATAGGTAAGCTTGCAGACCGGATACATCTTTTTTTTTTTTTAATGGGCTTGTTCTTGCTATAAGTTGTCACTGATAAACCAAATGTCGATGAGTCAGTCCCCACTGACCACTTGCTGGCTCCCGGTTGAGGCTCCCTGGGAGGAAGAACTGCGGACGCTGAGGACCAGCGGCAGCCACGCCTGCCGGCCACACACGGCTGCTCCGCCACGTGGGGAGCCGCCGGGGCGCGGGCCCGGACCCCAACAGGACTGCAATTAATCACATTGGCAGAAAAATGGTGTTTATTTCACAGATTCTTTCTGTGAAATGATTAATATGAATAAAACCAATCAATGGAAATATAACATAAACATAGTGAGTATTAATGATACCGATCTGACCTCTGTGTCCCACGTCTGTTGTGAGATAGAATTGCAATTTCATTATGGTGATGTCAAGAGAACTATAAAATTAACTTTTCTAAGAGGCACTTTCAGTGTATGAAAAAAGCATACATTCAATACGATAAAAATGGTTTTGAAACAATAATAATGTATTATTTCCATGTCTTACTGTAAGAAACTGTGAAGAAGTAAATATGCTACTTATAAATTGAAAATATACTTATTTCAAAACATTGCACGCAGATTATAAACATTATGAATTGTGAACACCTTACATGTAACTGGGATTTCATTTACAGAAAATTTAAGTAAAAATGAAAAATAAGCCCCTTAACAATGAATTATAACTACAGTCCTGGTGGGGAGATGCACTTTTTTTACCTAGTTAGGTATAAATCCATATTTATTGAAAAATGAAAGAAGAGTCATGGTGGGAAAAAAAGAAGGATGACACAGACCATGCAAATACTGTAAAGAAAAATCTTTTCGCATAGCAATGCCACCAAATGTAATAATTTTCTTGCATGGTGTATGAAGAAAAAAATGTAAATAAAATTATACATAACAATGAGAGACTCAGTGCAGCTGCCTCTAAAAGACATTTTCCTACTGCCTCTTGGAGCCTCAATTTTACTCTCTGGTTACTTAGTTACTGCATAGACTGTCACCCTAACCCTTCAAAAAGTGTGTTTGATGAGGATATTGCTCCTAACAGAGCTCTAGCTCGCATTTGAAACACACACATGAAGAAGGTTTTCTCAGAATCTGTTAATTTTCTGTAAATTTAACATCATCTAAATGTTGCCATTTTAAGCATGTCATCCTTTAAGAGACCTCTTTGTCCCGGCAAGATAAGAAATGGGCCCATCTGTGAACTTCAGATGGTTTTAGCATGAACAGCATCTTTAATCTGGTGATAGTATTTTTCCCTTCTTTGAAACAACTGATGTATCTCCCTGAACTGATGTATATCAAGTCTCAAGTAACCAGTGATGGCAGCTTGCAAACTCCTGTAAGAATTGCTGAGCTCCAGACAAAATCCCATGGAGATTAGCTTCACACTGCACAGTATGGGTAACAGTTCTGCAATTCAATTCTTATCCTTGGCCTTCTCTTCTGTTTTGTATGTGCAACTAATGCCTTAGTTGAAATTTTGGATGAACTACTTAAATTGTCAAATATTAAATAAACTAAAGAGCCAGTTTCTACATTATACTAATTTTATTCTTTATAATGTTGAGTTGTAGGCATCCAGATGTGACTGAGAAGTAAGTAAGTGAACAACAACTTCCCAATGTCTGTCCTAAAGTTAGGCTGACACAAGACTAGTGTCTTAATTGAACTTTGACAAGTAGAGAGAAAAGAAATGCTGCAATCACTTGTTTTTATGCACTGCAAAAATATACATGGGGTGTCTTACAGCAATTACACCAATGAGCAGCAGGAAGGCAGAAGCCTTCTTACTGACAAGTTGTTTTATTCTTCCTTCTACAACTTTACCTGCCTAGATGAAGACTCCTGTTACACTGCAAGCTCACTGAAGCAGGAGCTTTGGTCTACGTTTATATAGCTTGTACGATACAAGTGGGTCTCGGTCCAATATTGGGTGTCTTAGTTCCAACCAGAACACAATTACCAAAGCAATTAATGATATGGTAGCGTGTTGTAATTGGAAAAGCCAATGCAGCTTCTTTAGGCCAGTGGATGCCACACCAGAAATAGCAAATACTGAATGGACTCCATCATGCTGTTTGTATATTGATATTGTATACTGATAAATCATGCCGGTATCGTCCTGGGAAATAAATACTCACTGCTATACAGAGTGAGTCACATCTTTAATAAGAGCAGGTAAAACCCATTTCTAATAAAGCATTGCAAGAGGTTGAAGAACGAAGGAGAAATTATCTTTGAAAATGAAATTTAAATAATTCAGAGAACTGAAGATTCAGTAATGCAATCTGCAGGTTTCCAGTTCCAGTTGCTGTACGCTGCAGTTGCATGCATGTCACTTCTAAATAAACGCTGGGAAAAGGTGGTAAAGCTCCACTCAGCACTGAATTTTAATTTTTTGACTGCCTTTACAAGACAACCATTGAGAACCTTCCTTTTTTGAAAAGTAAATTTATAAGGTACTGATGGCCTCCTGAAATGAAGACTGAGATTTTTTTTTTTTTTTTTTTTGCCTTTCAGGTTCAATTCTTAAAAGTTTAATGCAAGCTGAGTAATGCATTGAGTATATTCGCGGCTGGTTATATTTAATAGAATTTTCTCTTCTGCAGCTGTGAGGAGGTGACTGTGCAGGCAGGGGGCTGGGGAAAGCTGTTCTGCCGGCACACGGGCTGTCCCTGTCACCTTCCCCTGCCCCTTGAAACCGCTGCCTCGCAGTGTCCAGCTCCCCGGAACGTATACTTCGAACCCATCTCGCCATTTTGAGGGCCTGCTGGGCCCACAGACAGTGCCCGGCCCCTCTCCCCATCCCCTGAGCCGCGCCGCTCCGCGCCCCGCCGCGCCACGGGCCGCCGGGCCCCACCTCAACGGCGTCGCCCCGCCCCCGGCGCCGAACTACAGCCCCCAGCAGCCCCCGCGGGCGCACCCAGCGGGCAGCGCGGCGCTCAGCGCTGTCGTGGCGCTCGGCGGGTGAATGAGCCGGTCGGCCGGGCCGGAGCTAGGCCGCGGCTGCCTCGCCGAGTCCCGCTTCCCTCAGGTTCTGTGGGCGCGGCAGCCGCTCCCGCCTTCCTCCTCCTCCTCCTCCTCCTCCTCCTCTTGCCTCGGCAGCTCCGGGCACAGCGATGAGGCGCGCGGGGCTGGGTAAGCGCGGCGGTTCCGCGGCGGCGGGGCGTGCGGGCCGGGCTGCGGTTGCCTGGGCCTCCCCGGCTGGTGCTGGGGGGTTAAACGGAGCGGGAGAGCGGGTAAGGAGCTCGGCGGCCAGGGCCCGTGGGAGCCGCTGTCCGAGCCGGCTGGGCACGGCGTCTGGGCGGTCTGGGCGGGAGAGGGACTGTGCCCGTAGGTGTAGGCTTGCTGCAGAGATTTAGATACTGTGTCTGTTACCTGTGCTTCTCTCTTCTCTTTCTAGCTTACGGAGCAGCACTGGGATTTGTACTTAACTGTGCTCACGAGTGGTTCTAACGCAGTGTTAGCTTGAGCCGTGTTTCCATGGATGGACAGAGACTTGTCACTCTTTAGTCCTTTCCAAATTCTGAGTTGTTTTTTTAATTTTAGTACTTCTGTATGTTTTCCTACTGTGTTTGGGGGGAATAAAAAAAGTTGTCAGTTTATTACAAATATAATCTAATGCAAAGGCAGAAATCTCTTCAGAGTTCCTGCTGAGTGTTTTGAGAAGTTTAGGCCTCATTTTTCAATCAGCAGCCACGTTGATAACTATAAACTTTGAACTTCCATGTCATGATCTACAACCGTGTGGGTGCTGTGACCTCACTGTAAAGCTTAGGTAATGTTTATACCTCCATAAGTTTATAACTGAGTTTTGGTATTTCTTCCAAGAAGGTGAATATTTGGGGGCTGATAAATATCATGTGGCTAAACCGGGTGTGTCTGTAACGCCACCCTAAATTTACTAGTACAATTTTGATTTGTGTTGTGTAGTAGTATTTCCACAAGATAAAACAAGTCTTGGATGCACTTACTAGATGGGATGTTTATCATAAAAAGGTGGGCATTTGATAATACTTAGGTCTTCAGTCCTTTTCTTTCTCAGACTAACAGCTCGCTCTTGGATATGAACTGAGAGGGGTTAGACTGAAGGCCATCCAGCTCAGTATGCTGTGTCTGAAAAAGTGGTGGGTGTTTATGGAAGAAGTGCAGCAGGAAGAGCGTGCCTTCTTTTAGCATGTCTCTGGCAAAGAGTGCCTTAAGGAACATCCTGAAAATACTTTAAAAATCTGCTGGAAGGTCAAACAGAAGACCTGAATGTCTACTATGAATGTTACCAGTAGATAAAGCAGTAAGCAGTAGAATTTGCTGCTTTCCCTTGACACTTCAACTGTTGGTCTAGAATTCCTTTTTACGTAGTAGGGTGGATATAGAAGTTGGGCACCAGAACTTCTGCTGTGGGCACCAGCTACTTGGTACCTCTTTTTTAGCCTGTGACTGTGTTATGCTCACGTCCATGTTCCATGCCCTGTCAATGAACAGTGTTGCAAGACAGCCCATAGAACTGCCGTGCTGAAGTTTCTGTCCTTCCTGTAAACAGGAGTAGCCAGGCATCTACACAGTGCTTTCCGTGACTTCTATAGAAGTGGCTGTGCCTATGTAAAAGCTTTGGGGCAGTTGTTCACGTTGGTTACGACACAGTCTATGTAATAATCATGGTATTTTGGCCTGAAGCTAAATGGTATATTAACTTGCAGACATACTCGCAATTGTGCGTCATTTGGTATTTGTAAAACAAGACAAAGGGAACGACGCTGACTCTTTAAATGATGTAATTTTGGTCAACTCTCTGTACTTGGCATTGGAACTTTTGATTGGGGGGAGGGCGAACTTCTTGACTCTCACTGTGATGAAATGGAAACATACATTTCACCCAGTCTTGTTGAGATTTTGTTGTTAGCTTAATTTACTGAATAACATTAAAACGGTTTATGAGTACAAACTAAAAAAAACTTGTCATTACTTACACTTAAAGAACAGCCTTATGGGTTAATATAAAATGATATCTGTTATGAAAGTAGCATTGTAATTCTCTCTCTTAAAATCTTAATATTATGTATGCCAAGCATGCAGTGAAACTGAGATGGAGCTTCATCTGTGAATGTGACTGGTGTCTCTCTTTTCTCCCTTCTTCCTCAAAAAGAAAAAAGGCACCCAAATACAAAAATCTTTAAACTACATTAAAGAGGAATTAACCAAAGGCATTCAGGCAGTTTTAGTGTGGCATTCTGACTAGCCATATAAATATTGACTAATGTTTTGGCTGGATTGCTGGTTAAATTAATCTAGTAGGATCTGTATCATAAAGCTTATAATAGTTCTTTTCTGTTGCCTTTCTTGGTCTTGGTCTCTCTTCTTCAGTTTAAAATCTTTGATTTGAGGCCTAAGACTGTTTTTTGTCTAGACAGGACATGGTTTTAATTCTCTTGTGCCCATGCTGCTGTCCAACTCTTGTCTGTAGATCTTTTATTAGAGGTCGGAGTAAGCAAATGTGTGGAGCCGAGACGCTTTCATTCCCTTCTGCTCTGCTACTCTGCTGAGTCAGTTGTCTGGGTAACAGTCCTGAAGCTCCATCACCTGAAAAGCAAAGCCAGGAGTGGGAGTAGAACCTGCAGCATGGTGACAGAAATGGCCCTGTTCTCTTCAGAGGCCTGGCTTCTTGTCTGAGGTCCTTTGTAGAGAAATACATGTAAGGATCAGAGCATGCTCTCTCCTTTAACTGTGGGTGGGATCAAATGGTATTTGTTTTTGTTAGAGAATGATCGCTACTTTCCTATTTTGAGTTAGGTTAACCGCTCTGGGGAGTGGCCTTAATGCTCCTTTCACAACAACATGTAATGCCTCCGTTGATTTCTACAGAAGTAATCTGAAAACACTTTGTGGGGAAAAATTTTATAGTATTAATTTACAACCATTCCTCAGTTTCTTTGTCTTTGATTTGCACATTAAAAGATAACTTATACATTTGAAAAGAAGTTGAATCCCTATCTCAGGAACATGCAGCATCTCTTCCTGCTTGCCAAGGTGACGTTAAGGCAATGCATTTTTAAATGGAAAGAGTGCTTTTCCACATAAGAAGAGCACTTGCTCCGGTGGTGTTTTCTGTCTAACTACTGACTCTTGTGTCTATAGGTGATGGAGCATCTGCTGGTAACTATGGCTATACCAATAGTGGATACAGTGTTTATGAAGAAGAAAATGAAAGGTTAACAGAAAGCCTGCGTACAAAAGTCAGTGCCATTAAATCAGTAAGTATTTAATTATAGTGGTATTGTCACATTTATTGAATTAAATTACACGGACCACTGAAGCAGCAGACTTAGCTTAAAAGATAAATTTAATATAAGAAAGAATTGTCAACAAAAATGCACAGTCATTCATTTGTATAACTGATTGTTCGTTTAATTAGATTTTTAGCTAGAAGTGTCCTTTTTTGCTAATCTGGAGGACAGCTGTAGTGTTACCTACAGCTTACTGTCCTACAGAATGAAATGCTGTCCCTGCAGTAACTAGAAAATTTGAGTTCAGGTCAGTAAACTGGCTCAGGTTTATTTAAGAAAATGGGCTACTTGGTTTTGGGGTTATCATGGTAGCTCATCAGTTTCTACTGTATCTGCTGATATATCTGTAACATGAAAACAGCTGCTAGAAATAGCATGCTAATATACTCTGAAAGAGAAGTTTGTTGTTTTAATGATTCTCATTACTTCCAGAGATGGAGGACTTCCTTCAGGCAAATCTTAACTGAAAGACAGCTCAGTGATTAAAATAACGTGGTTTTTTTCTTAACAACTTCAGTTTTTGTTTGTTTGTTTGTTTGTTTTTTTAAAATACATTCTTAGCAATAGGTGCAGTTTCTATGTATGTAGTACAAGCCAATGAATTCTTAGGCCTAAACTCATTCAAAGTCCTATTGCTAGTTATACCACGTTGCTTAGAAGTAATTAGTTCAGTCTCCAACAGAAAATAAAACTTTAGGTTTAAGTTAAGAAATTATCCACCTAAATAATTTAGAGTAAGTTAAGGAGGTAAAAAGAAGAGCTTTGACCTTTATTACAGAATTTCATTTCTTGTCTCCTCCTCTGGTATGTTATATTTCAAATCAGCGTCCCAGGGTATGTGTACAGTGTGGTTGATAGTGCCCCGTGGAGTAGCATGCATGCTCTTTCTTCAGTTGCATCTTCTAGTGCAATATTACGATCTTGGGAATATGGTGTAATCTTCAGATAATCTTCCTAGAACCCTCATGTTTCATTCTTGATGAGAGATTGTGGTGAAATGCAGCAGTATGAAATAATGAGATTTAGGTTGTGTCACAAAACGCACGGGTTTTGGCTAATCAAAAGCATCAGGGCCTGGAGCACATTTCCCTCCCTTCTAGAGCTGAGCAGGTAGTTCAAGGCCAGTGTGCTGGCAAGAACTGTTGCAGAGGAAGGGCTGCTAAGAAGCTTCAGTGGGGGTTCTCCCCTGTTTCATTTGGGAGCCGCTTTTTAGGCAGGATGCTCCTGGCTGCCCCCTGCTTTTGCTGTGTTGCAGCTCTGTCTGCGCCTGCTCTCATACTTCCCCAATTTTGACCCTAACCTGCTGACTTGACCCTGGACCAGTCTCATAGCTCTGGATGTGCTGTTGCTGACCCTGGTTACTGCCTCTGGGACTGGCTCTCCTGCATACACAGCTTGCCTCCCTGTCCTGCTGCTCCCCTGCTGTTTCATGACACAAAGCAGAGAAGGAATAGACAAGTTCACAAAAGAAACTCCCATTTATAGCATAGCAGCAACTTGTTAAAAGAGATGTGTTAGTGGGTTATAGGTGTCAACTCCAGCAACGCTGAGTTAAGAAGGGTGCTCACGGTCTTCTGTGCTGAGTGCCAGTAGTTTTAACAGTTGTTCCAGGAAATGGATAATTGCTACTTAGACTTGACTAGATCTTGAATTTTTGGAAGTCCATGCATTAATTCTAATTAGGGCTTCTCTGTTTAAGAAGGGGGAGGAGGAGCATAGAGTACCTTCTGTGACTCTCTAGACTAATCTAGTCATATGACAAATGCTTACTTTCCTAGGGGCTATCGACAGAGCACTGTACATGTTCTTTTGAAATACCAGGTACTGTTTTCAAATTTTATCTGGTGAAATGCTAGCGATGTCATGTATTTTAGACTGATTTCTCTAGTCTATATATAACTGGTTACTCATATTTAATACTTTTTTTTAATAGCTTTCCATTGAAATTGGGACAGAAGTTAAAAACCAAAATAAAATGTTATCAGAAATGGTAAGTGTTTAGTCAGTAACTTCCTTTAAATATGGGACAGGATTAAGAAGTTAGTAATGTAAAGCATTCCTTCTTTTGGTATGAATGTTTATATTAAAATATTGACAGCTTATTGTTGACTATAAAATGTGACTAATTCAGCAGCAATATTTCTGTTCAAAAAGATAGATGGTGCAAATGCATTACTTCCAAGGCACAACTGAGATCTTTACACTTTAGATACGACTATTCATTTTCAATTAGTAAATGTATAGTATTATTAAAAGGGCAGTTCTATATTTAAATGTATTTAAGAATAGAAGAGGGAAGCTAAAAATAAGGAAGTCAGGAACACCTTTTTTGCTTGCATCCATCTAGATAAATAGGCAAAAGATTTTCCTGGTTAATCTTCAGAAACTGCTTCTGAAATAATTTTAGTTTTGGAAAATTTGAAAAAACAGGAAAAAACGCATTTAGCGAGGTTTAGGGATAATATTTTTCCGAGTAACATGGTTTTTGTTGGTTTGTTTGTTTTTTAAATGTAGGATAATCATTTTGACTCTACCGGTGGACTTTTGGGTGCAACTATGGGCAGACTGAGAACACTCTCCAGAGGAAGCCAGACAAAGCTATTATGCTACATGATGCTCTTTTCATTGTTTGTTTTTTTTGTGATATACTGGATTATTAAACTGAGGTGATGCATGTTACCTTTGGTTTAAATTGTATAATTTCAGCTATAAAGCAGTCTTAATGAAGACATTGATCTAAAGTGGCATATTCTGTTGGTAAAACACAGTGAAATTGTAAATTGCATTAACTGCTAATGCAATGAAATCTATATAGTTTTCTTAACGTATCAGTTTTTCCTGTCTTCCCCTGATTTGGGGGAATATTTGTAAATATACAGAAACTGCTAGCATAGGGGTTGCTTTTTTTAGGGGAAAATAATTTTTAGAATTGATTTTAAAAAATACAGAAAACAGTTGTTCGGATATGAAGTAATTGCAGAATTATAAGGCTTTCTCTTTCATTCTGCTTTTCATTCTGGGCCATGCTCTAAATTAGAGCTCGTTTCAGGCGTATAGTAATTTCTGTGTTGCAAAAGCATAAAGAATACTTGAATATTTCTAAATTGGTTTTATCTGCAGATTTTTAAAAGGCTGGCCTGAAGCTAACAAATATAATAGTGGTATCCCCAAAAATATTTTTGTGGATAGGTCTGATAGTGTATGATAGCTTAAACTGTGTGTTTTGGGGACAACTTAAAACTGGATTTTTTTTTTTTTTTTTTAATTTGAATGTGACAAATCATGCTTATGCATCTACTCTTAAGCAAATGTCTTTGATCATTGGATCAACCAGTATGGACACAGTACAAATATTTTCTTTATATTTAAAGTATCTGAAAGTTAATGATTCCATTGAATCACTGGAACTTTTGCCATTAGTGTGTTTACTTTTCAGTCCGATGATTCCTTAATCTACACTGCATGATGTCTGAAATATGAGGTCAGGTATTTTGAATTTTATATTAAAGTATATTATGATGCACCTGTTGGAGGTGCTGTCATATTAAGGTTTTTTATTTTGAAGATTTAGCTTTGGCTCACCAAATAGTTTCTAACAGTTGAAGCTATTACATTGCTAAGTTTAACATTCAAAAAAATGAGGTTTCCTAGATACTGAAACTGTATCTACAATTTTCTAGAAATATTGTATAAGATGTTGCCACTAATAATTAATTAGAAACTGAGAAATAAAGTGTCCTGTAGTATTCTAGCTAGTGTTGTTTATATACATTCCTTTGTATTGCAGAATACCAATGTATTTTTTGGAAATAGTGCTGCATTTAAGGTGCTATAATTGTGGGGGGAGCACTATTAAAATAAGAAATGGAGCTGTATGCTACATTTTTCCATGTTAGATTTCATACGTGACAAGTGTGACATGTACATCACTTATCTAATACAGAACACACAGAATGTGTAAAAGCAATTAAAACTCAAATATTTCTAGCTGATTTAATCTTTGACTGTTAAAAGGTCTGCAATACTTCTACAAACAATAGATCTGAGTACTAACACTAGGTTAAGGCACTGTCTTTATATGAGAATTGCGAGGCTTGTTAAACAAGGATAACATTCCCATATCTGGTCAATAGGTTTGACTACCCTATGTCTTCCTTTCTGTATGTCTTCGTTTAAGGAGGGTTGTCATTTTTTTTTGTAGTTGTCTAGATAGGGTGGGAAATGGGAAGAAAGCTTAAGCACAAAGACTGTATGAAGCCTCCAAACGACTTTTTACATCTCTATTAGAAAACACACAAGGGCTTTTCTAATTAAGTGCTAAAACACAACTCTGTTAGGCTCTTTTAACATAAACTTGAACTGAAAGGTAACGGTTACATAGTCAAAACTGTCACATACTTCTGTATGTTTTTCTGTTATTATTTTACTGTTGGAGCAAGTAGAGGATATAGCGTGTTTCCCTTTAATTCCAGTAAATGGTAAATTTTCAGTTTAAAATCTGAACTGAAATGCTGCAAGTTTGCTTAGAATGGTTACAGTGACTTATGTGAAGGTGAAACTTCTTTAAGAGCATCTCACTTAGGAAGGGGAATGGCAATTGGTGGGAACCATACATTGCAGCCTTAGAATTTTCCTCAGCATCTGCTCTTGCTTTACTGTTTTTTTTCTGGTAAGAAAGTATTACTCTGAAAGTCTTTAAAATTCACAAACAGCAAGATTTCAGGATGCTATAGTATGATCTTGTAGAATAAAATACACTATACAGTGGCTATGATAGAAAAATACTAGTAGCATTTAACTATACTTTTACAAAGTTGCAGTTAAGAGCAGCTGCGTAGGAATAATGCAGTTATGTTTATTCTTGCTTTTGAAATCTTGCAGGTATTTTTTACAAAACATTTATGTATTGGGTTTCTCAATTTAATGTAACTTAATCTTTATGGCTGCTAGGTAGAGTCTATTTCCAGGTGGAAGAAAACATAATCTTTTAGTTATCAAGCTGTTAACCTTACAGCATCGTGCAGATTCCTTAGAAAATGCTTAACACATCCATCTTGTTACTAGGAAAAATCCACTGGAGCTTTGCTTTTTTTTTTTTTTTTTTTTTTTCAGTTAAGACAGGTTGTCTCTTCTGACCTTAAATGGCTGCTTTAGGAACAGTTGCTGATGTTGGTTTTGAAGGTATGGCTGATAATCAGGTAAACATAAAGAATATGATTTATAGAAGATCAAGTTAAGAATTTATGCTTAGCATATGTATATTTCAGTGAGAAATTTTGTGGAACAAATCACAGTAATTTTGAAAATAGTATACACGTCTGCTTTAAGATGATTGTGGCATATAACATAAATTGTACCATCTCATTTAAGTAATAACACAATTTTCATATTAACATTTTTTAAAGTATTTTTCTTTAATAATTACACACAAAACATGATACCTTACTGCTGAAATTCAGGCCTCCAAAAGCTTCAGCTACAGTTAAATGATTGTTTGTAGAATTCTAAAAATAAAAATCAATCAATCCCCACTCCCACCACCAAATATCCACGACACTGTAGCATGAGTCAATGTGAACTTAGCAAAGGTGACAGAGCTCATTTTTATGAATACTTGCTAAAATTTAAAGATAGGGAAGGTATTTGTAATTGAGAGCAAAATCACTGTCCAGTATTTCAATATGGCAGGGAATAATTTGTGCCATAATTACTGAACTTGAAAGCAAAGTTACACTGCAATTAGACTAGGCTACAAGTAAAATCATAGCTGTATCCATGTGGAAGTTATGTTTCTTAACCGGTGGCTCAGACGCTGTAAAATGTATATATGCCTTGATTAAAGAAGACAATTTTTTTCCTGGGTGCTTAGTGTGGAATACAAAAAAGTAATCCACTGAAAAAAGGAAAAAAATTTGCAGGAAGCCACATGCTTTCAGACTGCCTTGTATCAACAGAAATTTGATACTGGGAGAACACACAGAATGATTATAGTCAAAGACTCCGATAAGCAGTTAATTGGCAAAATTACTGTTATGTTTTCTTCTTATTTTACCCTTGAAACATGTTCTGGCTGTTACACTCAGTGTGCAGTACAGGCCGTGCTCTTGCTTGTTGAATTTTCAAGGAAGCGTGGAGATGTTCCACTGTCACTTGCTTGGAAGTGTTTTCATGTGTTTGCATATGATGGAAAGCATGGTTTCATCTGTACCACCTCCTATTGACATTAATCTCATGTCTCTGTAGAAGTACAAAGAGTAGAATTAAATGTTTGCATGCTATACTGATGGAACAAGCACAGGACATACCCAGTTGTTCTATGCAGTTATTACGGAGCTGCTTTTATTATATTGAAACCCCTTGTTCACAGAAGTGCATACATAGTGTGGACAAATGTGTTGTCAGCACCATAAATACCCTTTTGCATACAGGAATGTTGCTAATGCAAAATCAAAAGGCATAAGATATAATCTCGCACGTCCAATTTTCAGATTCTTTTAAAAATAACCTTAACTTGGCATAACACTGTATTTTCATCTTGCAATAAGTTAAAACCTCTCCTAGCATACAACTGCCCCTGCTCAAGCCCGGCCAGGCCTCCTGCAGCTGAAGTCCATACAGACTTCTGTTGGTGTCGCCACTTTGGACTGGCGGATGGAGCATCATAGGCTCTTCCCAGGGTTTTCTGCAGGACTGCCTGCTCAGATTGCTGATGTGTTCCATACTGGTGCCAGCTGGCTGCAGAACACCTCACCCACTGCTGCCTCCTGGCCATGCCGTCTGTGATACTTCCCGCAACGTCCCTGCTGTTCCTTTGCCAAAGCTGTGGGTGCCTAAGCCTGCAGGTGAATTTTAGGAGAGGAGGGAGCTGTTGGGGGGCCAGCAGCAATGAGTGTTGCAGCACTTAACCTTGCTGAACCGGGTGGTAAAAGGAGTATTAGTCAGTCGGTGCATGAGGTATTGGAGAATTGCACAGAGAAGGTGCAATGGTCATTCAAGTTTTTTTAACCAACAAGCATCTGGGTCTCCCTAATGTTTATGTGAGATCTGGCATAATCCATACTAGTATTATATAGTAGTATAGTATAGCATTATATAGTAGTATAGCATAGCATTATAGTATAGTATTACTATATAAAGCTTCTCTGTTTTAAAAATTAATGGCTGCCCAAAGCTTATTTACTTTTGATTTGATGTTTCTAATCACACTCATTTAAGAATTGCCATTAGTATCACTGAGTCAATCCCTAACAGTATCGCCTAAATTCCCTGGGCTAACCAGACTTCAAACTACTGCAACCTTAAGCAATTTTCTTCACAAATTTTTCTTCTTTGGTGAAAAGAAAGAAAAAAATCCAAACCAATGAAACAGTTCTGCTAAACTACCTCTAATTAATTAAATCACCTGAAAATTCCCCACCTTCCTATGGGCCTTGTTGAAGGCAGCAGAGCTTGAACAAGGGTAAGTTACTTGTTCTTTGTGGTGCGGTGCTGTCTGCTTTTTCAAGCTGCAGAAAGCCCCTGCCAATGCTTAGCATCTTGCATCTTCACAGAACTGTAACAACAGTAAATAATTAATCCTCAGAACTCCTCTGTGATGCTAATAAAAATCTATTTGCAGCAGGAATCCTGGACACATGGGGCTTGTTTATATGAAGTTATAACTAGGCAGTGGTTTGGTGGTGTGTGACAGACATGTTTGGTTATCACATATAAATGCATGTTTTAAAAAAGCAAAACACATTTCACATGCTTGTGTGTGTGTGTCTTTATAAAACTGCTGGTGATTATATTTTTGTCTATGGGTGAGATAAGGAATGTTTCTTACAGAATCTACAGGCAGGTGGCTAATGCTGATCTCGCCCCCAGAGAGACAGGACAGGAGGTTTCACGCAGTTTAAGAGAATCGAGATGACAAAGGACTCAAAGGATTTTAATCTAGCAGCCCTCTTCTGGGAAAGAGATTTGCTTTCAGTGTAAGAAAACAAAACCACAGAACTAACTATCCCACCAGGAACTCTGAGGAAGCCGGGGCAGATAACCATAAAGTAAGCTTGTATATCAGTGATTTATTTTAAGTTTATGGTTTGATAGTTTATATTATACCGATAAAGCATTATTAATAGAGCATATACATATTTTGATATATATATATATATAAAAATATTAGAATTTTATTGCTTTAGGTAGGCTACCTCTGGAATGCTTTTGATCTGGCACAGCAACACTTACTTTCTGATTTCTCCTTTGCCTTGTCACTGCCTCCATGAAAGAACAGCATGTCCTGCACTACCTGCAGCCCTGCTGATGTGAGCACTGACCTGTGATGGCTTCACCCTGACCAAGGACTGTGAGGAGCCAGCCTGCAACACACCATAGATTTACATAAAGGTGTCATTTTGAGGGACTGAACCTCTAGCTGCCCGTTGAACGCTGTTTGCCTTGGAGAGTGGAAGGTTGCTTGAGGAAAGAGATAATTCCTGACCGTTGTGTTCTGCCCCCCTAAAACACTCCTTGTAAAGAGTTTCCTCTCATTCGGGAAATCTCATGCACCTGAAACATCCACTGTAGATGATAAGGCTTACTCTACTTGACCAAATCAAGAGATTCAAATGTTAAAAACCAATCCACTTTTTGACAGATTAAAAAAACCCTATAATAATTTCTTCAATGCGGAGTTAAAAGACTGTACTTATGAGGGAGGGTGAGGAGCCCTCCCCATCCACCAAACTAAATCCAGGTTAGCAATAATTTCTAGTTAGGCAGCAAAAAGAACAAAAAGGACCATCTCCATAGGTCCCATGTCACATAACCTCCTTCATAAGTGTGTTAAGCACTGCTTCAAGAAGGAAGAACAAGCTCCCTTTAATCTTGGACTATCCTAATTTGAAGGCTGTCACATAACAAAGTTGTTCTAATGATTAGGAATCCTCTAATTTACAGCCTGAATGTGTTCCTGAGTAGTATAAGCAAGCATAATCCTTCAGTTTAACATTCCTCTTTTGGCAGGTGTTGACCCCTCTGCGTCCAGAGTGCCATTCAACCCTTGTTTTACACAAGCCAAGGCGTTGTCCATCACCCTGCCTGGAAACTTTTGGTCCCAGTTATCCTGACAATCGGGGCTGGTCCTCGCTCCAGTCTGAGCTCTCCCTTGTATGCGATTTCACTAGCCATGAAGTAGGACAGGTACCTATCTCACAGTGAGAGGAAAGTTTTTGACATTTTAGTGTGCTGTACAGGTACTAAGGCCATAGCTAATAGCACACTAAATCTGTCTCTAGCGTCAAGCAGCTAAAATGTGATGGTGTTTGCAGTTGTGCATCCCACTACCATTTACTACCTGCAGCCGAGAAGCTGTGCCTGCTCAGGAAGCCGATCTACACTGCATTTTCCTCTTGAAAGCCATATGGCATTAGGATCTAAAAAGCCCTTTCTGTTCACAAACACCCTGAAAGGAGCCTGCTGCACTATCTATATATCTTCAGTGCAGACATCTTCACATAACTTTAATGTCCAGAGAAAATACACAGTAATTTTCTTCTCCCTTTCTTGCAATGATCAGTGCCAGTCAGACGATTTTTGGTGACTCCAGCTCTGGTTTTCCCTAGCAGCCTGGCTTCGTGGCAGCAGTCCCCCACAGATGCTGCTCCCTGTTTCCCTGGTTGGGAGGCCACTGGTAAATCCTTCCCAAGGTTCACATGGTTTAGAGCATCACTGCTTCCCAGAGGGCCATTTACATGCTGCCTCCTTTCAGCACAAATTGCACTTGATTACAAAAAGTTTACCCTTTTTTCTCACCATTTTTATTTTAAAGTTGTTTTGCTGGCAAGATTTTTCTCCACAAAACACATTAATGTACCCTCAAGTTTAATACTTTGTGACTTTTTCAACCTTCAGACTCAGCTAGATTGCTTATAGGCCATCCAAACGAAGCAGCATCTAATGGAGACTTTGATCCAGAAGCAGAAGTTTCAGCTCGCACCGGGCAATGCAGCAGGCCTCTGGCCATGCCCACTGCTTCCATCGCCCTGCCCGTTTCCCCAAGGGGCTTTCTGGAGGGATTGCTGAGCCCCAACAGGCATCCCCTTGCCCTGCTCTGGAGCGTAGCTCCACTTCAAAGTCTTCACTGTGCAGTTACCTACTTTGATTTGCCATGTTAGAGCTAGATGGCATGTGCTTCATCTCCTAAATTCCGTCTCAAGGTACTCATAAAAGTCAACCAATGTGGTAGACAGTCATCTGTCTCAAAACCTCTGCAGAAGGTTAAAACTATGGATTTGTTCTCACAGATGACTAACGAATTGTTATCAAGTCTTGTCCCAACAGTTAGCTACTGGCTTCAAAGCAAATTGGTTTTGTCAGCAAAAATTGATAGGTTTTGTTTCATTTGGTACAACTGTAAATTGTGATAATGACAAAGACTGATTAAAAAAAAAAAATCAATTGTCTAGACTCATTCTAGTTCAGACATGCTTTATAAAGAATGAAAGAATATAAAAAATGAAATAAAGAATTAAATAATATTTCAGCTGTCTTTTTAAATGTGAGGAATAAAAAAATAATTTAGAAGGAAACGCATTACTTACTCAAAAAAATTCCTCTTAAAACTCTATAGAGGTTTGATTTTTAACTATCCTGAATTACAAATGAAACTTCATACTGCAATACCTAGGTGACAGTTGAGGGAAAAAAAGAAATCTGATTTTCTTCTGCAGCTATGTGCATTTTCAATGCTATTTATACTTTACCTATTTCACAGGAGAAGTCAATATTTTTCACTACTGCTTCCTCAAGTCTTCCACAATGCAGCAAGTAAAGAAATAATATAGCATTCTCCCCATCATACCCCACCAGTAAAACTTGTAAGAACTGTCAGCAGTTAGAAAGTGTTTAGTACTTAGAAACAATCTTAATTTAAAAAAAAAAAAAAAACACCACAAACCCTACAAACTCTTTTAAGAAGGCCAGACAAGTTCTTCCTATAATAACAGAGGTGTACATGATTACTATTAAAATATATAGATCACTGTCTGAAATTTTTTAAAACTCATGTGATCAAGTCTGAAAAATTGCAATATACTTGCTACAAAAGGTTTTACTCCCTCTGATTTCTTACAGCCTGTGGTTTTCATATAGACTGTGGGTTTGCCCAATAATTGATTTTTCCTAAGTCATGATGTCTTTGAGGCATTTCATACAGGAGAGAGAAAAAAATAAACAAATACAATTCCAGTCTGGCTTGCTCCTTCTCCAGAATCCCTCTGGAGGTCTGGAGGGCAAGGTCTGAAAAGTCCACTCTTACTGGTTTTTATATTTGTATTTTTCTTGTATTTTTCTATTAAACCCTTTGATAACTGGGCTCAAAAAGCTTTTTTTTTTTCAAACCCATTCTCCTTCTCAGAATCCCTACAACTGAAAATGAGACATTTACGTATATAAAAATTTATGTTTTATTTACGTATATAAAACTAGCCTAGTAAAGGGTTGGTGAAGATGGTGAAATATTGGTATGTGGTGAAACAGCTATCTTTACACCTTCTAGAGAATACTGCACTTCAGAAAAGTCAGTTGTTGTACAAAGTTTAAAAGACTAATTATTAAAATGACAGATGTGAGTAGTATCATTCAGCAGACAGTTTTGTGCCAGGTCTGTTTATCATCTCCCCATCAACACTAGTAACTAAAATTCAGAGACTTCATGCGCTATCGATGCTTTATGCTGTGTGCTCTTTGAGGAGTAACAGCCTGACGTGTCAAAGACTAACATTTCCTTGGAAACTTGGTAAGGATTATGCTACAAAAATCTTTGTACATTATGACTAGATGTCATGCTGTGCAGTTACGCTGCTTGTTACTCAACAAACATCACAGTGATGTGAATGGTTGCTCAGACTGCTGCTGCATAAAGAAGAATGGCTTTAGGAAAGTTGCTGCTTTGCTTATCATTACAGACTAACAAGATTCTGACTTGAACCTGTAATTGTTTATTTAGGTAATACTCCTCCCTTCCTGGAGCTTACAGTTACTCAATGATGGAATTTTACTGATTCACAGAAAATTTTAGAGTATAGATATCACACCACCTTTAGCCTCATTTATAACAGTGTTTGTTTTAGAGGCAGAAAGATATGTTTCTTTATCCAGCTGACACAGTTTATACCAATCGGAAATACTCTGGATTTCTCAGGGAAAAATGTAACCGTGCTGCTGTATGTAGAAACCACTCTGCAATTCACACAGAAAAGTTACACAGCAATAATATACTGGGCTAAGAAATCTAAAGACAGATCAAAGCTATATAAAAGCACATACACATTAACCTGTACATATTACTACACTGACAGTAAGGAGTTCAAGACAAGGATTCATTTTATTCAGAGTGCTTCCTGCAATCGCTTTTAACATCCACATGGCCAGGGACCATTAGCTGCTAATAAAGAAACTGTGAAAAAAATAACTAAGAAAAAAAGTCATATTGACAGATGGCTTAAAACCATCAACCATACAGCAGTCTGTACCTTCACCAGAGAACTTTAGGAATCCACAAGTCAAAAAAGGTTGAGGATCTCTCTGACTTCCACAATGGCATTTTTGTTCATAAAATACTATTAAAAATAGAAAAAGTAACTCAGCCTACTAAAAAGAAATAAGCTTTTTACAGATTTTGTCTTTTTTTGAAGTGATCTGCTCTCCCTTTACACAGATACATTTGCCAAAACTTTCAACTAACTGAACCACTAACTAATTTTGCTAACCTTTAATTAAGCATCGTATATAGAAGGGCTCAACTGAAATCTGTTACTGCAAGAAAATGCAAGTTCCATTTTGGTCCTTCTACAGAACATAAGACACCAGGGCCAGGATTTTCCTAACGGCCGCCAAGAAATCTGTTTGCTTAGAGAGAATTTTGCTCTAAGTAGATATACAGTAAAATCTGAAGGGACTTGAATTAGTTTGCAAAAAGGCCTCTGTACTGTTTTAATGATCTAACAAGTAGCTGGAACCAGCTACATCTCTCCTATGTCCCACACGGTGTCTGGTGTGACTAATTGGGTAGTGACTGCTACCAGAGAAGACTGCTGCAGGAGCCTCATGGTGAACTCCACTTGCACTCATATATTTCGGGAAAGATGAAGCTGATTTTCTCTGGTTTTGGGAGGAAGCTTCTGTTTTAGTTCTGCTCTCGTAATCAAGACTACAAGCAAACAAAAAGCAAAGACAAATAAAAATTCACTTGTTAGTAGGCTTCCCCTTCCTTCTCTTTTTGCCTGGCAGGTACCAGAGGACCATCAGGGAAAACATGGAGTTTACTTTTTTCACTTGACACCCAAGCTAACCTGCGGGTAGTTCAGACTACACAGTGGTAACGCAAAGCCAAGATTTGGCAAAAGAATAGCCAGCCTACATCCTGACACTCACACGTCACCCCAAAGTCAATGGGACTGTGGATGCCCTTGCATCCACAACGTACATCAGTGACATGCCACTCAGTGGAACAATACCATTTACACCAGCTAGGAGCTGGTGCCTTTTCAATTGGGTGATGTTTTTGAGTGGGACATTTAAGAAGCCAAATTTCAATAAAGCCATTTCCTATTTTCACCACTTGTTTACCTGTAAAACCTGCTCACAAGAACCTCGTTGGTGAATCCCATTCCTCCCCAAAACTGGAGACAGCTATCAGTCACTTCACGGGCCAGACGACCTGCCTTTAGCTTAATCATGGAAGCAAATTTTGTCACATCGTTGCCTTCCACATAGAGAGCTTAAAAAAAAAAAAAAAAAAAAAAAAAAAAAAAAAAAAAGCACAGTCATACACACAGTCACTGATTGATTACAGCCTGTCTCTCTGGCAATCACCTCCCCATGTTCCTTTAGCCTGACAACATGCTTTGCCCAAAGAGATGCACATCTGGGAAGGCAGAGGCGGGAGCTCACCAACGGTGCGGTACAGCAGAGAGCGAAGGAGCTCCACTTCGGTTGCCAGCTCGGCCAGGCGGAAGTGCACGGCTTGGTTGTGCAGGACAGGCTGGTCAAACACTTTCCGCTGGCGAGTGTAGTCAATAGTTTCTTGTATTATTGTTTCCAGCGGTGTCAGGACTTGAAGAAACAAAGCACAGAACAAGACATTATTTTAGCCAGATCTGTTGTTTTTCTTCTTGTTGAAAAAGATGGGTTTTTTTTCACATTGTATGAACAATACATTAGGTCTTCTAAAGTGAATTATTCTATACGCTCAGTTTGGGGTGCAGTTTCAATTTTGAAAAAAGTCTGGTATTTCCTTGTATCTTGAAGACCTCTTTATCCCTATTTCACCTGAGTCCCAAACTGCCAAAACTTGGAGGAGAGTGAAAGGGAGGCAGGGAAGAGGGAAGGAAAGTTGTAGAGAGCAGTACGTGATGATGAGTATGTAAACTTCATACTTAGTGCCTCATTTGGGACCCTAGCAAAAGGTTGTGGCAACTCCTGCTTTCCATGCCTGTGTCTTGAAGGTCTGTTACAATCCCAAAAGAAAATCTGAAGGCAGACTGTGTTCCCTGGGGAATGATGTAAATTCAAGGATGATTTCAGTGAGAAGGCAGAAACCTATTCAGAGATTCAGGAGCGGGAACAGACTGCTTACTACATCTGCATTCTGTGATCAGATCCCAGTACAGAAAGGAAGGGATAAATATTAACATTTACAGTCATTTTTAGTAAATGCCTAACAGTGCTTCTAATGGCAACAATCAAAATTGAATACTGCTGGAAGACAGGTGAGAGATGGCAGACACTACTTGGAAGCAAGAGATCTAGTTCACTACTACTTTCTGAGCAAACTTAAGAGATACCCTGTTTTAAATGAGAAGAAAAGGGAAAAGTTTATTTTCCAAGGCAAACCAGCCTTGAAGTGAAGGGCTAGGCTATCAGTCTTTTACAGATTAGCTAGGATAACAGAACATGCTGAATTTGTGGAGAATTTTGTTTGGCAAATGTGGACCCATGTCACTATGGCAAGAAGTAGGGAAAGAAAGAGAGTTCACAAATCCACCTCTCTTCAAAATATGTATATCCATATCCATTCATATTTAAAATCTAAACCACAAAACTCTGCATCTGAAACACAAATTACAACCAAGCCCTGGACTACTACAAAACCCCTTTTCCCACCTGCCAGTTACTCACATAACAGTTCCTTACAGGAACCTGGTGTGCTTTCATATTCTTTTTGGTATCACTTTCAACATCACCTCTATTTAAACTTTATCCCCATACTGCTCTCATATGCAGACCCTGCATCCCACGAACTGCCCCCTGCCATGATTACTCACCAGCTCTTCCACAGAGTGCTGTTTTCACATGTCCCCATGTTCTGTAAGGTGATCAGCTTTTCTCATTCCTTAAATATTTTCCCCTCCTTTCTCAAACAACTAGCCTCAATGCTTATTTTTCAAAAGGGCATATGTAATAATGTCCTAATTTCTTCTGTGTTAATACACTATGCTGCCACCCTAATGCTGGTGTTCTGGACAGGAAAATAAATTGCTGTTTTCAGGGACATCTCTTGTATAGAGTAACATCACTGTTCTTCCAAAGGACCATGTAACACAATACTGTAGCATGTGTAACACTAACAGCTTTCTCATTTGTACGCCTACGGTCTCCATCTTAAGAGATGCTAAAGAGCGAGCAAGAAGAGTCTAAGCACCTCCTGTTCCTTGCCCCCAAACAGATACCTGGGAAGCATACAGCCGAGTGGGAGCTGCTGGGAGGCAAACTGAACAGTATAGGACAGTGCTAGGAGAGCAGAGGGAGGTGGGAGAGATAAGGGCAAGGGATTAATCTTGTGTTGGTCTGTCAGAGCAAGGTGCTCCAGCATGACTCGTGAGGTTCCCAGCATCCAGCACCAGGGAAAGAAGAGATAAGAAACAGCAAAGAGGAGGCAGGAGCAGAGCTGAGTGAGAAGGAACAGAACTGCACCCATTTAGGTCCTGCTCGTGAAAGGACTGAAGATCATGAAGGGGTTTTGGCCCATCTCCACTCAGGCTGTCACCACACATCAGGGCTGGGAGTGGGGGGCCTGAGAAAACTGTTCTCACAGTGTCCACCTCTCCGCTTCACTGCCTCCTTCCTGCCCAGCTGATCCATCCTCCTGTTTCCTTAGCTGCCACCACCGCCCTTCTGGTTATGCCTGGAACTGCCATTTGCACGGAGGAGATCTTCTGATGACAGTCCTGGGCCACACTGAAAGAAGCACGGCCAGCAGGTCAAGGGACGTGATTCTGCTCTTCTACTCTGCTCTGCTGAGAACCCACCTGCAGTGCTGTATCCAGCTCTGGGGCTCCCAGTACAAAAAAAAAACCCATGGACCTGATGGAGAGGGTCCAGAGGAAGGACACAAAAATGGTCAGCGGACTGGAACACCTCTCCTATGAAGAAAGGCTGAGAGCTGAGGTTGTTCAGCCTGGAGAAGAGAAGGCTCTGGGGAGACTTTGTTGTGGCCTTTTGATATATAAAGGGGGCTTATAAGAAAGACTGAGAGAGACTTTTTACCAGAGCCTGTAGTGACAAGACAAGGGCCACCAGTTTTAAACTGAAAGAGAGTAGATTTAGACTGAACATAAGGAAGAATATTTTGGGGTTGGAAGTAGATCTTTAAGGTCCCTTTGAACCCAAACGATTCTATGATTCTAAGAAATTCTTTATGATGCAGGTGCTAAGACACTGGCACAGGGTGCCCAGAGCAGCTGTGGCTGCCCCCTCCCTGGAAGGGTTCAAGGCCAGGTTGGACGGGGCTTGGGGAGCAACCTGGTCTAGTGGAAGGTGTCCCTGCCCATGGCAGGGGGGTTGGACATGATGATCTTTAAAGGTCCCTTCCAACCCAAACCCTTCTGTGATGCTACGCCTACAGGTATTTAGAGCTATGAGCATAACTCTAACATGGCAAAGCTTAGCTGTGCAGCTAGCAACAATGAAATGCAGCACATCAGGAATACCAGTGACTGGCAACAGCCTTGTACAACATAACATCAGACAGTGACTTGCCAGTCATATAAGTACACAGAAATGCCATGCTTAACAGTGAAATGAATTTTCTCTCTAAACTCTTTTTTTTTTTTTTTTTTTTCTGCATATTTGTTTCCTCTTTTGTCATACAATGTTCTCCACATCCTCGGACAAACTTGGCCCTGTGGGTTTCAAGCGACAGCACATGCAGGAAATGTCACTCTAGGGCAGCCTAAGGAACGCATGGTCTACCACACAGCCAAGAATTGTGAAAGCACTTGAAGTTGCCAGATGCAAAATAATCTTTTCCTTGTACCTCCATCCAACTTATATTTTTCCACTTGAAACTTCTGTTCATTGTAAACACATCTGCATTGCTATGTCTCTTTCCAAAACAAAAGGAAACAAATACACTTCAGTTGTGGCTGATCACTCTCTAGTGAGATGTACAGTGAACTCCAAACTGAGCAATAGTCCCCTAAGGACGTGCATTGTCCATGTAAAAGGATCTGTCATCCTGCTTACTGGCCATGACTCAATGGTGCTCATAAAACTCAGACTACGGGAGCAGATAGAATTCATTAGAAAAGTGTCATTCTGCTCTCTCACATGCACTGAACTGCCTCTAAGTTAAGCAATTCACAAAAAACCTTGTTGCCTTAGCAACGTTCTTTTCCTGTGATCGGTGCAACAGGTCCACAAACGGACGGTGTGTACTGAGTGTCACAATATGGGAGAGATACATGGAAGCTCTTCTCTTTCAGTGAAGCAAGAAATGCAGTGACTTTTACCAACACCTTTGATAACGTGTCACTCAGAAGAAAAGACCACATCTGTGACCAAATTTTGCAATTTCAGGAAATTAGTTTTCCTTTTAGATTTTAAATCTGTTGGACTGAAAATTCATTTTAAAAGTAAAAAAAAAAAAAAAAATAAGGTGAGGAAGGAAGGAAACTCCCAATGTGTTATGAGATCTGGCCACTAATAAGATAAGTAGTAAACAAGAAGAAGGCTGGACTACATGATACTAAAAACACATAAAAACAAAAAATGAAACAACCCCCCCCAAACACAACAAAACAAAACAGCGCCCAAAAAGAAATGAAAGAAAAGAACGGCAGACAACTGCCTCTTCCAAGTTTTAGGAAGCAGTGAAAGCAAGAATGCCAGGACTGGTCCCTAAAGTGTTTAAAAGCAGGCTGATGATCTTCAGTGCCACATGAATAGCCATGAACTGGGAAGGAGCAGAAACGTCCCTCTGAGGGCCAGAAGCGAGGACGGGGATTACACATGCAGACCTAGTCACAAAACTACTGAAGGCACGCGTAGAGTTTTGCACATCTGAGCCTTCAGCAAAACACCTCTGTTTGAACATACGTAAAACCATGTGCAGGACTGGAAGTTAACAGCTAGGTGTCGTGGTGTAACAAACTGCATCCATCAAGCACCTGGCTCCCTTCTGAACATCGGTTACTCTTCTCTCGTTTACCACAACCTGTTACCTCTGAAGTTTGCAACTTGGCCCAGACCACGGGTCTTGTCCCTGCTCCTGGCATCTTCATGCATTTTATGTAGGATAGTGGGTAAAAGCAAAACCAGGGGACCCGGCAAGGCATAACACACTGGCCATGGTGCTCAGGAGGCAGCTCCCTCTCCCTGGCCGAGCTCCAAGGCTTTTCCTCCCTGATGGCCCCTGCCCGGCCATGGCGGGGGGAGCAAGATGCCCTTCCCAGACTGCTCATCCAGGGCGAGGGTTTGCCTGCTCCTGCTGTGTTGTTCTGGGCAAAAAGAAGAATTGAAACCTGGTGTCCCACTTCCTGGAAGAGCACGGTGACTGCCCAGCGGTTGTGCAAGGCCGGACAGTACCAAGCTGCCAGTGGTTTTAACAGTAGTGATCTAACCTGCCAGGCTTTGTGTTTTGATGCTGTCAGTGCACGTCACTTTTGCCTGGGGCATGAGTAATGACATGAGCTACTCTGCTGCCTGGGGAGTATCACTGCAACACAGAGTTTCTGAGTGTTTTGTTTAACTTAGACTTCAAGCTGAGCATAAAAATGCACAATGCACATCCTTGCAGCCTGTGTACGTCCTGATTAAAGCAGTAGGACCATGACTCCTCCTTGCCCGAGTCTGCAGTGGCATCCCTTGCAAGTCTAATCTCCTGTTCCTTGCTAAAACTATTCACATTTACTATTCATCTCAGGCTGAACTAAGAATTTTGGCCCAACCTAAAGATTTTTTTAAAGCATTTGAACTCTAAAATATTTGGTCTGTGATCAACCCACAACAGAGAGTGATTTTTTATTTGGTCACTGAATCAGAAAATCACTTCTTAGAGTTTCTGATCCCCCCCCCAGCCACACACAGACAGTAAGAGACAAGGTATTCACAGAAGCACGAATATGGTGAGATTATTTATAATCCCTGAAATTTAAAGAGGACCAATCTTCCTACAGTGAACCACATTGTATTTAAGTTGAAGAAGCAAACACTGTGGAGTGGGGGGAAAGATCAGGAGGCTGAAAATGGACAATCTAGACTTATATCTTGTTACCTGGAATATCCAGAATCTGTATAACTTAAATATGAAGATTCAAGTATGGCCTGACTTCAGAGTGACAGGAACTGTGTGACAGCATAACTTCAGGGAAAGGAATTTGGTGCTGTACCACTTATGTCCGAAGTGTACAGAGGTAAAACAGATCCACAAAACAAAGCTCTTGCGTCCTGTAAGAGCCACATCTTTACACAGCCACTAAGTTAATCTTCTAAAATCTAGGATAAACACCACAGCTGACTGTACTATAGGAAAAGTCACTGTCCTCCTACTTCATGCCAATGTTTTGGTAGCCTCTGTACTATATTTGTAGCAGACGTAATATGACGCCATATTTTCTTATCAGCAGAAAAGCACTAAGAAAAAGAAACAAGGCAAAACCAGCCTCTGTGATATGTCACAAAATATTTTCTATTTCAAGTTTTTCTACAGAAAGGGAAGGTTGTCTGTATCTAGACTATGACAGATTTCAAAAACAGATCCTAAGAGGTCATTGCAATTTGCAATAAAAGGAAAGTGCTGTTAGTCATGCGAAGGGTGACCCCTATGTTCCTGCCCAGCCCCAGAAGCACAAACGATGACTTACCAGTGGCTGCTCCCCACAGCCGCTCTTCTTGGAATTGCAACATCTGATACGTAAAACCCTTTCCTTCCTCACCGATGAGGTTTTTGCTGGGGACCTTTACGTCTTCAAAAAAGATCTGAGCTGTGTCTGATGACCTCATGCCTAGTTTGTCGATCTTCTTAGCAACTTGAATGCCTGAAGACAAAGGGGTATTAGAAAGGCCACGGAAAATAGAAGCGCTATGTACAAGTACAGCATTTTAAGAAAGCAAATTTTGCAGATGCCAAGATATCTGCCACGATTACAGTGAAACCTGCCTTTAGGAAAAAAAATAACAGTATTCCAGAATTTAAGAGTAAAATGACCCATATCCTATTTCTAAGAGTTTTTCCATTTTATTTACCTAGCAAATCAGAAACTGCAATTGTAAAGGTCCCACTTTTCATTATGTCCCCAATTAATAATTATTTACTAGTAGTGATAATCTTACTTCATGCATGTCTTGAAACAATGCAATATTTATTTGCTTATTTTTGATTTTTAGTGCAATATAATAAAATGCTGGAATTCAAGTTAGCAGTATTTGCTGAGTGCCTGCACTGCTGTGAAACAGTAGAGAAATATTTAATAATGACAAAAACAGCTAATTTTTAAGCTGCAACTAGAGAATTTCTCTTCCTGGAAATCCTCTTCCTTCCCTCTCTTCCACATTTATTCTTCCCTTTCTAGCCTATCCTGATTTTTTTTCTGGTACCTGTAGAAGAGAGACTTTATAAGCACACCACACCACTTTTTCCTAATAATAAGAAGCTAGACTCAAATCTGTAACTCCTACAAACATCCAACAATTCCATATCAATTCCAAAATTTATTAAAACCATGTATTTTATGATGGCCTACAAAATACTGTTTAGTTCATAATGTTCACAATTTATTTCTCTGAGTTTTCATGTGAAGAAGGTTTGCTTCCCCACAGACAGCCCTACACAGCACTGACTCTGACCCCACGCGAAGTTATCTGTTGGAGATGAACCCGGTTCCTTCAGGTTTGGACACATAAGACTTCAGCTACCTAGTCACACCAGGTAGAACTCCTCGTTTGTTTTCTCCTAGCTACAGGTTCTTTCTTGCTACTGTTAAGATGCAAGCATGGCTTCCCTCTGTGTCATGAAAATTTAACAGACGTCCACTGATTTTTTTGTGGCGATTCCCTTGTCTTCACCTCCTTGTTGTTCTGTGGCTAATGCAAATATTTGGGATGGAAGTCAGGAATGTTTCAGAGGTAAACGGAGGCTAACAACCAGGTATGAGGATTTGTGCAAAGCATGCTGATTACATCTGTCAAGTCAACATACATAGAAAATCAGTCCTCCAAGTCACCATATATGTCTTTGCAGAAAATCAAACATTTTACTACCCATGTACTTAGTATTCTAACTAGTTTTGTGATGAGGAGATATTCTGGTTATATTTTGCTCTTTAGTCTATTTTTTTTTTCCAATCCGCTGGTACTCAGTGGTCCTTCTCAGTACTTATCTATACCTTGCTGTCCTTCATGGCTTTCAGTGAACATCTCCTTCTGAAGTAATATAGCTATCTCAACTTCTACTGACAGGAGGCCTTCAGCGATGTGAAAATTACTTCGGTTCTACAGGCAGAAGAAGTTGGCAGTCATTCCCTTCAAATTCACTCTCTCTGGCTGCATTTAATAAGGTTATGGAAAGTTTCATCTCCACCGAGATGGAATACTGACATTATTTCCAAATGCCAAGACTGCTCTCAGAATCAGGTCCACATAGACTTCCACACCTTCCACTCAAGATTTTTCTCCAACAGCCAATCTATAAACAGATTATGTGTTAGGAATACTTGCTTTGATATGTGTTCAACACAGGAAGAATATCAGGACAGTTGTATAAAAATTTTTGACTGTTGGCTTGAAAATTATCCAGCAATTTGCACCCAGTCATGCCAAAAAAGCATTTGTGGTTTGTTTCTGTATTAAAATCAGAACTAAACAAACACACACTGAACCATTTACAGGCCCGAATGATTTCTGGAATATATTTTCCCACTGGAATATTACAGCTTGGTTTTATTTGAGAGTCTCAGAGATCATGTCTTCGGTCTTCTTCCAGCTGGTTTTATGCAATCACTGCTCCTCACCCATATGAATATGCACTTACTGCTCTTGTTAGTGGGTAGCTTACTAAGGAGTCTATTGGGAAAAGTACAACTGCTGTCAGTTCTTTATATTGCTAAATCAATCCTGTTGTGTACTTCCCCAGTTACACGCACAACAACAAGTACTGAAGAAAGCTTTTACAGGTTTGGTTAGAGGAGCTAAATGTGTTAATGATTTCTATCCACACTTCTTCCAGACTGGGTTGTGTGCTTAAGTTTCCTGAACCTAGCAGAATCCTTCTTTTGTTGTGCCTTACTAGTTTCACTTGCTCTTACATTAATTTGTGTGTCTCGTTCAGGAGGAGGCTAAACTGCATCAGACTCAACTAGTGACCCCTCTGTGGCTAGCACACGCTTTACATTTTCTCTTTTTTGAAGACAATGATACATAATCTTCCCTTTGGATACAATCTGGGCATCAAAATCTTCCTTTACTTAGTTTAAGTATCTTAATTCTCTTCATAAGGGGTACTATATACTAAAAATTACCAGCAGCAGTAGAAAACATCTGCCCAGATAATTCCTGGAGTTTGTCTGTAGTAAATAAATCACAAGTCATCCAATAACACACAAATCTCAATCTAGCAAGGCCAAGTGCCTCACTTACGAAAATCACTCTAACAGAGCCATTTGTGCTACTTGCACCAGTATCACTGAAATGGATTGCCATATCTCTTCCCGGGCATTTCTTCCCAGGCATCTTTGATTTTTCATTTTCTCCCACTTCTCCAGCCTTCTGACAATTTCTTTTATTTCCTATATTCTACTTTGAGAGAAAGGCAGCCACTTTCCCCTGACACCACTTACTGCCATTACAAATGGAAAGAGGCACATTTTAAATTGCAACCTGGGAAACATGCTCTTTCCCCTTTTCTGGCTGCTCTTCTCTTTATTATCTCCCCCTTGCAATCTACCCTAGTGCTATCTGAGGACTCAGAGGACAAACCAGCACGTATAGGTACCAGATCAGGGCCACAAACCAACTGTCTATATAATTTACACGCAGACATTTTATGACTTGTTAGGTTCTCTCTCATCACATGAGAACTTCGGCTTTTTTTTAAAGACTTCATCAGCATGAGGAGTATTCACCTAATTTGGATATCTACTATGAATCCACACTGCCGTTATCCAAATTCCCTTTATAAGAAATGTATTCAACAGTGTCTGTCAAATCTAGACCATGATTTGGTTCACCCCGGAATAGAAACTGTACACACCTAGAATTAGAAAAAACAAATCCTGCTTTGTATCTCCAATAAACTACCAGTAGTTGAAGTTAATAATTTGCTTTCAGACTTGGAAGGTGTGGGGTTTTTTTCCTTTTTCTTTATCACCACATTAGACAATTATGAAACAACTAAGATTTTCACAAAAAATGCTGGACTAGTCTCCCATGTCCTTCCAGCTGCTAGCCAGGAATGTGTTACTGCTGTGTCATGGATCCCTTACTTACCCTGCCATCCAGGCAGGTGACTGCAGCAGTTAGGCAGACCTAACACACTCGTTCTCAAACTACGACACATCTACATCTGCAGACGCTTGATAGTGCATCATTCAGTGATGTCCTCTAGACACTTCCCATACAGTCCTGGTCTGCTGCCCTCCAAGGAGCACAGTCTTTGTCAGACAGATACCCTTAGGATGTATCAAAACAGCTGGAGCTTCCTCCTCACATCTGTGTCAAATGGCAGCCTTTTTCATACTCTCCCTCTCTGTCTTCCTGAAAAAAATCTCACTTCTGATATGACCCACCCACTGGGCACAATCAACTGTTTTAATACTTCATTTCAAAAGGTCACCAAGGTACCGTGAGCCTTTTGGAGGTCAATATCTGTATCACACAGAAAAATGAAAGCATATACACTTTGAGGAATGCAACTTTTACTTCTAGGAAGACTTCTACGCTTCTGCAGATCAGCTTCAGGTGACTCAGGCAATTTTTCTACTCAAAATCTATTTACCAAAAGTAAAGAAGGTCTGTGTATAGGTTGTGTGACCTAACAACAGCTCCCTCCCAACGCTACAATGATCTTTCTGGAATAAGCAAAGTAGCTGAAAACCTCCAAGTCAATTTCTGTATATTTGATCTGCCTCTAAGAGTGGGTTGATTGCTTTGTTGTTTTTGGAAAACTGAATACTACTGTATTGGATTTGCACTCTGACCCCTTCATGAAAAATCACAAAGAGGACTTCATTCAGATGGCTGATAAGTGAGTTTACCTGGAAATTCAGGGCGATTCTGGCTCTGAGTTACATGTTCACTAATCACTTACCAATAAGGACAAAGTCACAAACTAGTGAAGCAGCTCAGGTCCATCTTCTGTGAGCTCCCATTCAAAGCCTGTCTTGCATGAGCAGAGGTTGTAGAAACTCACAACCCACTCAGAACTTGCTTAACTCCCAAGGCAACTCACTCCCTTGAGTTACTCCATACTGAAATTCACTTACAAGACATTCCCTTAAGTAGCTCTCATTACCCTCTTTTGCAACAATGGAGACCTGGGTTTTGTTCTCAATCTGATCCATTAAGTGAACATACGGATCTTAACTTCACTGCCGTGGTGGTATCCCTACATGTGACACGCTGATAATGACGTATTTTTAATGTAAAACACTCTGAATTGAATGAACGAAAGTATTCTATATTAAAATATAAACACATTAATACACATTGTTATATATTAGATATGTTTAAAATGCATGTTAAAATATATTATGCATTCTATATTAAACAAATTAATATATAACATATTTTTTAAATACTAAAATAAGTGAAACCCAAAAAGGTTTAAAAACTTTTGAAAAGGTGTTAAAATTGCAAAAGGTCCCAGCCAACATAACCTTAACTGTATCCTCTCTGAATGATGTCCTTTATGCACACAGCACATTATGGCTGCAAGGTCTGCAGACTGCTCAGAAACAGTCACTGTGTGGACTGCACCACTGAAACTTGTACCCTTAGATCAGGATGTACTTCTTCAGTGTCTTCACTCAAATTACTAGTCTTCTTCAAAAACAAATCCCTACCTTGAAAATTTTTGGAAGCTTTCGCTCCAGCCCACATTTAACTCACTGACTATTTTTGTAATTTAAACTGATAATGATAGTAGAACCCTGGCAAAAATATCCCTTTGCAGAGCACAGCCGTGAAGCACCCTTGGTATGCCTGCACTTCTCTTCAGCAAGCCCACCAGCTTGGGTGGCAACAGATGGAAGATCAGGATCATCCACACAATACAATCACAGCGCAACACTGCATCCTTCCAGTAAGCCCACCCTAATGGAGCCAGATACTGCCCAGGGGTTCCCTGGAGGCGGGTATTTGCACATGGGATAAGATTGTTTTGGGAGGTATTTCCCATGTATTTCCCACGTTTAAAACCTCTAAACTCTTTATTTTTTTATTTGCATGTTTGAGAATCACTTTTAATGTTTTCTGAAGAAATAAGACAGCGAGCTTAAAAATACTTCTCCATTCACTGAAAAAAGAAGTATATATTCTGTTCACCAGTCCTCCTACAAAAAAGGAAAGAGTTTAACACTATTTAGAAAGACAATTTAAGCACATTTTACATTTAGTTCATATGTGGCAAAGGTTTATGTAAATAGAGTAATATGTTATCTATTTTGTGGACTGTTTGCATCTTCATGCCATGTGGGGACAGAAAATCAAGATAAAAGTTCTGTGGAACTTCTCCAAAAATAAAAGATACTGGAAGTTATAATTTAAAAAAAAAAAAATGTTGGCTCGATTTTTAAATAATTTCTTTGAGGTATTACTTTTGTCCTTGGCATTGACTTGTCTATTCATTCTCAGAGAAGTTTATGAAATATTCCCATGCAAATGTATCTGAACAACTTTTATAAATTTGTTTTTGGAAAAAAGGACTCTCCATATAAAATTATTTGGGAGTCACACACTGAAGCCTGCAAAATCTTTAACTTCCTTCTTGTTTCTTCTTGGCCCCTACTTGTTTGTGGAAGTTTGCAAATGCATTTCAGAACCAAATTTGTATGACAGTGAAACACCTAACTTGGAAGAGTATTTATGTGTACAGTCCTTTCTGTCAAACACCTTTCCTTCTTGTACTGGGCATATACAAACCCACCAATAAAATAGAATTAGAAGAGAAAGAGTTCTGTGTTATTACCAGGTAGATTCATTGGCAGACATATGAGAGATTTATTTTGATGGGGAGGTCCTTTACTGGTGTTTGCCAGCAGGCACATCCAGTCCGCTTGGCACCCAGACGTAGTCCACATCTTACCACCGTTTATGACATATTCATCACCTTTTCTCACAGCTGTCGTCTTGATATCTATTTCAAAACATAGGAAATGAAGGGTTATTCTTGTGAAGGAGGGATAAGCTGGGCCCTGTATGGCTGACAGAGTCACTCTCTTGCTCTCAGACAGACAACTAATATTTGGTTCTCCCTTCATAACCCCCAAGTCCTCTCACCCTTCCAGGCTGCACAAGGCAGACCCATCTGGACAACTCTTGGAAGGCAAGCCAGGGAAACCTGACCACTCCTCTCATGCTCTTCACCCCAGTTGATGAAAGCAGAAACTTTCCCTAAGTAAATCTGGCCATCCAAAAACTTGGGCCAGAAATATTTCAGTCCGAAGTGATCTATTACGTGTTTCTGTTACTGTGCACATTAGTCACTGAGGAGGCCATTAATTGCAGAGTCCTGACTTAAACAAACATAAGCCTCAATATCTGTGCATGCATAAAGATACACATACACGCACTTCCTGCATGTTCTTAGTCAGAACGGCATAATAAATCCAAAGCCAGTAAACTTTCCAAAGGCCAAGTTTAAACACTGAGAATGTCTGTACATGAAGGAGTTCTGAACACCTGCTGTTTATATCCCCTGGCAAAAACCAATCTCATTTTCATCCATGAGTGTTCACATCGTGCTGCAAGCAGTTGTAGCTGCAACAGCCAGAGTGAATCATTAGTTATTATTTACACTCCAGCAGAATTTCCAAAGGGCTGGCTTCATTCCTCTTCAATTGAACTTCAACTAAAACCCCAACTGAGGAATACTCTCCAACAGATATCTAGCTATAAGTAGGTGATGGTATGAGGAGAGAACTCTACCACACACCTAATTAGCACCTGCAAACCTAATGAGACACTATAAAGTCCCCAAGAGCCCACCTACTGAGGGAGGCAGTAGACTTGGAGGGTAGGAGTTGGACACCGAATGTCAGCTGGTTGTAGCTTCATACACACCCCCCTCAGTCTGCACATGAAACTTGCTTTCCAAAGACTCTAAACATAAAACAAAGCAAAACCAAGTATCTGATCTTTGTTTACAAGATAAACTGGGGCTGAGGTCAGCATGGCTTAAAAGAAGTCTTGTTAATGAAACAACAGCAGAAAAATGATGGGAGAAAATTGTATAAGACATAAAACAAGGGAATATCAGATATAGCTATGGCTAAAGGAATTTACAAGCAGATAATAATGAACAGCAAGGGAAAGAGATAGTACTAATAAAAACAGTAGCCACATAGCTTATTCGGACTATGCCAAATCTGTCCAAGGGACTTGATATGAAATCTGTATAAAAATGAAGGCCAACAAACTGAAGAAATCTAAAGTACTGACACTCATAATACATGGACACAGACACTGGACAATCATATACATGGAGACTAAATAATAAATGAATGACACACAAGAGCCAGAATAAGAAATATCACACTGAAGTAGTGTGAAAAAGATGGGAGCATACACAGTGATTTACATCACACATCCCTTTGTTGTGGAACAGCTAGTGAAGAGATTAGATAGAAGTTCCATAGAAGGCCTGCAGACGAACAATAAGCACTGTGATATTATCAGAAATGTAAACAGTTCTTGGAAGCATGGCGTCACAGGGGACTAAGCACCCAAATACAGATTAAAAACCAAATGCCTTACTAATAGGAATATTCAAGTACTCCCAGATGTGATGGTTGACAGTTTGCTTCAAGCACTTGAGAAACGGTTATTTAAAATCAACTTTTGAAGAGTTGATTCTCTTCAATTAGAAGATCAAGTGAATAAGTTTTATGTTTAAAATACTCTAAAATAGGCTTTGAAAACCTTCTTAATTTACTAGAATCAAATGGACTCAGTCTCAGGGGTATGTCTATGAAGATACTTTGGAATGTATGATTGTCATTATTCTCCCTGATAGAACATAGCTCAGGAAAAAGGCTACTTTAGTGGGTGCTCCGTAACACATTTTTGGCAGGTCTACACCACTGTGCCTGTAGTGGCTACAACTCAACAACTTACAGAGCATGCTGTGAAGGTCCCTTACAGGAAAGACCACAAGGCATCATCGGAAGGCATATGATACAGCTAGTGCCATATAAGCAACCAAGGCTGATCACTTCACCATTCAAACCACAACATACTCAAACCTCAAGTTTTCTTCTCCACTATGTTCCTGAGTCCAACCTTGCATCTAAGTAGATTTGACAAAAGGCAAGGCTGGCTTCAACGTTTAAGGTCATTATTACAATCAAAGATAGGCAGCGCGTATCTTTAAAGTAAAAAATTAAGAACACATATCTGGAATTTACACCACCAGCACAGGAAAAAAAAAAAAAAAACAAAACAAAACAACTTGCATGAAATAGTTTCAAGTCTAACTGAATGAATAATCACTTCAAAAAATGGGAGATGGCCTACAGGAAATGAAGAAGATTAATCATCGAAGTAAGCTACAGTTTGGAGGCCAGAAGTTAAGAACTGCCACAGGACATACTAAGTTAAATCTTGCAGATGAAAATCAACAAAATTGAAGAAGATTGAGACAGCAATCAAAAATGTTTCAGCCACAGCAATGAAAAGAGAATGAGAAAAAACATGAGGCATATAGAGGATGCCTCAAAACTAAAGAAATATTTCACATGAGATTACAAAAAGTTTCACAATATAGTTGACAAAGCAAGACATCCAGAGGAAGGACTGTATAGAAATTAAAATTGGTGAAAACAAAGGTTGTTGGCTTTGACAATCTGCATAGCCTCAGAATACATTTGGAATGAAAAGAGAATTCAGTTTAGCAGTGGTACCTTACTTAAAACCAACCTGAGCTATTACAAAAACAGATTTTCTAGAGAAAAGCAAAACAGGAAAAATCCTGCTGGACCCAAGCAAATTAAAATTGATGCTACTAGGTAAATGAGTTTAAATTTTGAAAATATAAGAATTAGAACAAAAGTGGGAATGTGGGTAACGAACTTGACAAAGGGGAAATTGCAGCAGGTGGCATTAAAAGAGGAAGTGTTGATGCACAGGGAGAGTACTTTTGGAGCTCCTCCTTGGGTATCAGCCTTTGGACAAAACTTATTCAATACTTCCATTAATGACCTTTAAAAGAAGAATAGGAATACACTAATGAAATTTGCTGGTGTCACAAACAAGAGAAACATCACCAACACAGACAACTGAGGCATTGCCCAGCAAGAAAGGAATGATCTTGAGTTTTCAAATTCAACATGGCATGTACAAGTACTTAGGCACAAAGTAATAATGATTGCTGTATCTTACAATGTTTCAGTAGCAAATTGCTAATGAAGATTATCTTCACAGTTAATCACCAGATTCAGAAATGAGCTAACTGTTGTGTAACATTACATACTGGAAGGTAATATTCCTATTACTTACGATTGGAGAAGTAGTTATGCCATTATAGACAACATGTGCAATTTTTGGTTTTCATGGTCAAAAAAGATGACCTAAACCCAGAAAAGCAGAAAGACTAGATTCCACTGCATTGGGTTTGTGTGTGGTGGGGTTTTGGTAGCAGGCTACAGATGTGGCTCCTACAAGAGGCTTCTAGAAGCTCACCCAGCTCTGAGTCAGACACACCTCTGGCCAAGGTCAAGCCAATTAGCAACAGTGGTGATAGCATATTTATGAAGGGGAACCTGAGAGGAAGAGGTAGAGTAAAACACCTGTTCAAACACCGAGGTCAGTGGAAGAAAGAAGGAGGAGGAGGGAGGTGTGCCAGAGCAGAGACTCCCCTACAGCCTGTGGTGAGAGGGCAGGCTGTCCCCCTGCAGCCAATGGAGGTCCATGGTGGAGCAGATGCCCACCTGCAGCCTATGGAGGACCCTATGCTGAAGCAGGGGGATGCACACGAAGAAGGCCGGGACTCTGAGAGAAGCCACTGCTGGAGCAGTCCATTGCTGGGAGGACCTCAGCCCATGGCAGGGACCCACGCTGGAGTGGTTTGTGAAGAGCTGCAGCCCATAGGAAGGACTCACGTCAGAGAAGTTTGTGGACTGTCTCCCATGGGAGGGACTCCACGCTGAAGCAGGGGAAGAGTGTGAAGAATCCTCCCCCTGAGGAGGAAGGAGCAGCAGAAACAACAGGTGATGAACTGACCAGAACCCCCCATTCTACTGTGCCACTGGCAGGGAGGAGATAGAAAAATCGGGAGCAAAGCTGATCCCAGAAACAAGGGAGGAGTGGGGGGAAGGTGTTTTAAAGATGTGGTTGTACTTCTCACTGTCCTACTTGGACTGGCAAATTAAGTGGTCGGGGTGTTAATTAAATTTACGTTCTTTTTCTTCCCCTAACAAGTCTGTCTTTTGCCCATGACCATAATGGGTAAGTCATCCCTCCCTGCCATTGTATTGATCCTTGATCCTTTTGTTTATTTTCTCCTCCCCATCCCTGAAGAGAACAGAGTGAACCAGTGGCTGAATGGTGCTCATCTGCCCTCTGGGCTTAAACCAGGACACCACTGAGACAAAATGGGGCAAGATGTCTATGTTGAAGGGGTAAACATGAACAGGGTTACTTGGCGCAGTTGCCTGGAAGACATAACTTGAAGAAAGAGGAAGTGCCTTCCATGATGTGTTCCTACATATCCCCCCACAGATTATCAGCAAAATATTCTATAAACTGCAGAATAGTAGGTGAGATAGAATGAGATGAAATCATTAAAACCAACATAGATATACATGCTTTGTGGTACCAAAAATCTTGAAATTAAAGACAGACACTTTCTATACCAAGTGTTCCATACTGCTCTGCTTCTCAGGTCATCTCTATGCTAGTTTTGTTGTATATGAACAATGCTACATACAATAGACAGCAACTACTATTGAAAGCAGACAGGTACTCCTTCAAATTGACTTGAAATTCATAGTAGACTAATATACACAGTCCTTCTGTTCTGTTGAATTCTGTATAAATTAATTCCAGGCACCCTTCACTTCTTATGCAGAGAAACACTTATTTTTTTCTTCTGTGTTTGCAACGCCTTCAATAATTTTGGAACTGGCAGAAGAAAATGCCAGAGATACCTTTCTCAGTGTCATTCTTCAGCTTAAAATACACCAGCTCACATGGCAGAAGCATGTCCCCAACCTCCACATGTGAACATCTGCTATGCTTTACTACCCCTTCACTTATCTAAGTCAGACAAACATCCCAGTAGCATGAGAAAACAGAGGAACTATCAAGTGCAGTTTCAGGCAGTTCAGCCTCCTTTAAAACTGGGCCACCTGCAGATGATATGTTCTGCCTCATGCAAACCAGTGCTACTCAGAACATAAGCTAGTGCTGCTCATGACTAAGTTGTCCATTTAATTACCCTTCAGAAACTGTAAACTGGTTTCTGGATTTATACCAGGGATCAGATCTTCCATGACATGTGAAGAAGTATCATCATTTCATCTTGCAGTCAAACCCAGACTGCAGCTGGGAGACAATCAGATAATCCTAGTTGATTTCAAATGACTCTTCAGCTGCACCAATCCAAGTATATCATACCAATTAAACCAGATTATAAACAACTTGCAGCTAAAAGAACATTTATGTTACTTGGTATCTGGAACACTGCATCAGAAAATTAAAATCATATTTAGAAAGTTCTGATAATCATCTAATTAAACTAGAGAGGTATTAATAAAAATAAATTATGTTGTATTTCCTACATTAGCAAAATTCAAATTATTTTAACGAAAAACAAGTCTATAAAAACTATGGCATTTTTCTAATGAACAAATTCAATTAACTAGAAAGGAAAACAGCAATGGATTGTGTAGGAAGATTTAATTTCATTATTTCATTATCCCCATTAACCCTCTTGAAAATTACCTGTTGCACCCTTGCAGTAACACTGAATAATTATCTATTTGTCATGAGAAAACAATATGAGTTTGGTCAAGGAGATGGAAACAGGACTCTGCTGACCAAAAATCTTCTGTCAGACTCGGCGATTTTGTCTGCAGGAAGACGGCTCAATAATTTGTAAGAGCACAATGTGTTCACCACCCTAGCCATCCTATGTGCAACAACAAAACCTCTGAAACAGGTTTATTGTCATTTCCTTTCCTTTGAAGTCCACTATTAACCGTCAGATGAGATATCTTTTACTTTTCCTACAGTAACTGTTTTAATGTAATTGTTCAAATAATCTACTGCCTCAGACACTTCAGAATAATAGTTACATTTGTCCATGTTTTTAAACATACACTTGCACTAAAGCAAGACAAATAGCTGCACACAAAGTAACTAAATCATAAAGCTAATAGATTTGACATGGCAAATTCTTCATTAGCTCTAAATAAAACAATCACCAGCTCAGAGACATTTTTGCTGCACAGGAATGACGGAAGGGGCTGAGGTGAGGTAAGAATGAGTGAGAGAAACCTGTTGTGAAAGTGATGCCACCATTTTCAGGATGGACTAACTCTGCAATTTGCCCATGTTCAGTGGTGAGGCCGGTTTTAAGGAAGTGCAAGTTTTAGTACAGTTGAACAGGCCACATCCCCTATCCCATACATCTGCAGATTTGCACAACTGACGGTGGCTGTGCTGGAGTGCTCCCTGCCAGCGGTGGGCTCGGACAGAGCAGGGGAGGCAGCAGCAGCAGCAGCACGAACACTAGGAGAAAGCCAGGGCCAGGATGACAGCTGCATATTAATCTGTTGTGCTCAGCCTACGCAGGGTTATAGCTATTGATTCACTGACAAATACATTCAATTTGATTTATTTTGAATGCATCAGAAGAGGCATGTGTTACTGCTCCTGGAATATTACTTTTTGCCCTTACCACACCTGACTTTCCCTCCTTTGTATTTCTTACAAATGACAGTGGCAAACGGAAGAGTCAGGAAAACCAGATTCTTTCCATTAAAACACCGGGCTGTCTAAAATTGCCAATTTGCTAGGTTAACTTACTTGCGACATCTGACCCAGCTCCAGATTCACTGATCCCCAAGCAAGCCACAACATCTCCAGCTATAGTTGGCACAAGGAACTGTTTTTTCAACTCATGAGAACCAAACCTGCAACAATATAATGAAAAAGATAGGGTATTAAAAGCTTTTGAAGGCAAATTTTATTTACAAGTTAGTTACAAATTTTGTTCTACCCACACAGTGATCAATTTTTCTATGACTAGGTAAAACCTGTCCCAGAGCCAAAAGACAGTATAGATACCCTTCAAAGCTATGATTCAGAGCCTTCACCAGAACTGCAGCCATGATAATTTTAAACAAGGTTTTTACAAGTATTCAGTCATCTTACTCCCACAGAAACATGTGGTCTAGATGCCCAAAATCTGATATTTATGACTGTTGTTTTGAGAGCTATCAGATCGAAAGAAACACAGTCCCTGGGGTTTCCCCTCAATGCTCCTGCACAAGTCTGCAGTCAGCCAGGATGAAGGACCTGCTCTCTGCGTATCTTCTGACTCTTGCCCCGGGTATTTGCCAGGTTTTAGTGGTGACTCAAAAGTTATGACGTGATGGTCACCCTCTGCAAATATCTGTATTTAGATTATTAATATTTCACATCTGCGTTTAAATCACACAGTGAAATCCATGAGTGCTTCTTCCCAGCTGTTCTTTTAGTCCCCACAAAAATAAAAAGAGAAACAGTAAACTGTTGATGGCATTTTAACACAATTCACTTGGCCATATTTCAATTCAGTTAACAGGCACCCTCTTTTTTTCCAGTGTTTAGCTGCTTTCATCAATTTGAAACATGGTCCATCTCCTTTCACGGTTGATTTTGTCCTAATTAACATTCACTGATTTGGTCTTGCAGCATGAATGGTAAGCTTGTGGCCTAGTTCTTGAACCTCACTTGTGCGAGACTGAAAAATTCCTCAGGTCACGAGATGTCTCTTTTGTGAGCAGAAATCCATAAAAGTTAAGTTCCTCCTCAGTCCCCTCTTCGGTATGAGGCTTCTCAGGTCAGCATCTCCACTCATCTTACGCTCGCTAGCTGCCTAAGCAGGCTGCAGTTATCTGGGCCCTCCACCTAAAACACTGTCCCAGAACTTACAAAGGAGTGATGTCATTTAAGCTAAGAATGGCCCTTCCCCTCCGCTCCAATCCTGACACAAAACAGTCAAAGGACACAGGCCGGCCAGAGAACAGAGTGGGAGCTGGCAGACACTTTCACTTTGTGCACACAGGGAGTTCAATTCCTAGTCCCGTCCCTGCTGACAATCATGGCAGCAATCCCAAATAAATACAAGAAGTGAGCTTGGCGCGTTTACTCCTTCCTCCAGCATACTGGGACAAAGTCTCTGGTTTGTTATGCAGCGTACATTTATTTTTTTTTTTTTCTATCTTCTTTTCCTTGGGACGTGATCAAGTATGGCCAGCTGAACATTCATAAGACAATGAATTAGACAATTTTTGGCAATGCCTGCTGATGCTTAAAACTTTGCCAACCTCTAGTTATTTCAACAGAGGATTTCCATGACAAGAACTTTCATCATAATAATGTCTTTGGTTTGATATCTTTGGTTTAAGTTCTAGAAAACAGTTCAGCTCTTCCCCAAAATCAGGCTACAGAAGTTATTTTGCAATTTAAAAAAAAACTCTGGCAATACTATCTTCAGAACAGCATGGGTCTCTATGCCTTGCAGGAAGGACATGCAGCTCAGCAAGTAGCTAATCAGCCCAGAAAAATCTCAGGTTTGCACAAATGCAACACCCACTTCTTTCCAGTTTAACAACTCCAGAAGTAGCAAACTCTGTTTGCAATGAGATCCTGCTCTGGCTCAAGACAGACCAGACTACGTCCGCTTTCTGGGCTGGGGCCATACCCCAGAGCATAGTTTCCCATGTGATTAACAGTGCAGCCTTAGCATCGTTCTAAAATATATTTTAATATATCTGTGTATGTATACACACACACAAGTCTCCAGTCAATAAACAGGAGCTCCTTGTTGATGCTGGGTAACCCAGAAGTCCCAAGTGTGAGATTCTGATACTTTGAGAGTTGCATGAAAGTGGTCCATCCTTTCTTGCTCCACGGTTTGTAAGTAGCATTGGTGGAACGTCATGAATACAAACACAAAAATTACAATGGTATACAATCTTGTAAATGGTGAGTAAAAGGAAATAAACCCATGGCAAAATACAGATGTAATAACACTTCCTTGATCCACACACTTCTATTTATGTGCTCTGCCAATTAGAAATTTGAAGTCACCTTTATTCATCTCAAATATATACAAAAATCTGGTTTCTGACAAGTTAGATTGCTACATTGATAGAAAATATGTCTATTGCTCATCACTCTTCTGACTTAATTGAGCTGATAATCATCTTGGTAGAACCACAGATCTTACTTTTGTTTCTTCTGCTTGTGGGAAAAAAAGCTGAGCTTAAGTGAATTAATTAAATTAGTAAGGCAAGTTATGAACAGAACTGACAGACACACTAATATGATACCCTATTAAGTGCAAATTGAAATTCTGAATATGAACAGCCGCAGGAAGTTCTAACACAGCTCTCAGCATTTGATCAACTCAAGCTTTCTTGCACTGGAGCTCAACCATTCAAGCACTATTCACCACCAAAGCAAAAAAACCCATACACCGCCCTCCCTGCTCCCCCCCCCTAAAAAAAAAAAAAACCCAAAACCCACAGAAGTTTTCAGATGATCTATGCATTATTCTACAATATCTCAAAGATGACATGATAATTTATTCATGGACTTCCTAGGAATATAAAGATTTTCTTTAGGGAAAGAAGAGGGTAACTCTCACCTACTGTCACTTTCCATCTTAGATACTAGCAAGAGGTGAATTTCTCCCAATTCTCTTTCTGTTTTGCTCCCAGACTGAAACTATTACTAAAGCAATAGCCATGTGCCATGCTTCTCCTTCAGTGTAGTCCTGCACAGGCATCCTACCATCTGATGTTCAGGACCATCTTAGCAATACTCCTTGGATCTTCAAGATGCAGAAAAAGAAGCAAGAAAAAACAAAAGGGAAGAGATGCTCTTTACAGGTACAGAAAGGGTTAGAAATGCATAAAAAGCAGTAAGCACCCTTGGGCAGCATGGAAGCTTCACTAAGTTCAGTAACTTACATAACCTGGATTTAAAAGAATCCACACTGCAGTCAGGTTTCTCTCCTTGAGTTTCTATTTCAGTCAAGATAAGAAGCCATGCGAGTTTAAAAAACCCACATTTAGAAAACTAACTTACTTTTTGTGAGAGATGGCATAAAAAAAAAAAAGCAATAAAAAAAGTGCTCTGGTTCTCAGTTTTACCAAGCCTCTAAGCTTCAGTTATTTGAAAATTTTATGAAATAAATTGCTCAGTTCGAGCAACTGCTACATTCTGAAAAGAATACAGATGAGAAGCCTGTATGAGACTACCTGATGTGTACGACTACCTCATGCAGATGAGCCTACCTGAAGGGTTTTGGTTAAGAATGATTACGTCACTCTTCTATTTATTTAGGAATGCATTTTGCACTAAAATGCAAGTACTGTAAAAGAGGAGTCATATTAAAGATTGTCCTCTTCAGATCATGTAGTTTTAAGAGCTACTCATGTGTCGGGTGTCCTGCAGCTACCACACCAGGTCTGGAGTCCTCAAGGCTGCCCACCAGACAACCTGCCACCTGCAACCAGGCTGTCACCAGGAGCATGAGAAACCTCAAAGGTACAGTAACAGTTTGAAGCTGTTTTGAGTAAAGCTCGTTCAGAAGCAGCTGCTTGACTTTGTATTGCCCCACCATACTGCTCTGCCCAGGTTAGACTCTCACAGGTATTTAAAACCACAAAGCAGAAAGCAAGTGATGTATTATGTCTGAATGTATTTGAAAGACCTGACAGATTTATGTTCAGAACCAAGTTCAAATGTCAGATACTGCTGACAAAACATTTTACATTTAGTTCTCAAATTTAGAAAGCGCTACAGCTTCACTTAAAGGAATCTGGGGAAAAAAATGGAACAGCCTAGGCATCTTCAAGTGAAACAGAACTATTTTCTCCTATATTTGTCTGCACAATAGAAATGCATATAAATCAAAGTTCACATTTGCTTTGAAGTATGACCATGAATATAACTTTCTGAAGGTTGTCAAAAAATTCATAAAGAATGAAGTAAAAAGGGGCCAGAACAGTGAACAGAAAACCAGGTATGGGTAACATTTTCAAAATGCATTATTAATGAATTAAAACTGTTACTACAATATACTTCCCATTTAACTGAGTATCTCAAAGACTTCCACAAATTAAGCCTTGCAACAGCTTGTCATTGAAACAAGAAACCCATGGGAGTTGCAGTAACAGCATCAGGAGACATCCTGACTCTAGATCTTTTAAGACTATTTTACTAAATTATGAAAATTTAAAAAGCTGCATGTGTGTGTGTGCATATGTGTATCCATCTGTTCCAACTACTGCACTATGTATCTAATTGAGAGAACATCTCTAATCTGTAGTGGCAGAGCATCTCCATGACATTCTCTGAGTTGGTTTGCAGGTGCACTCAACAAATGCTTGATGAATGCTGATTGAAGCCCAAAGTTAGGAAAGACAACAAAGGGCTCCAGACTTATTTTTAAAAGTTTTTAAGGGGATGATGGTTGATTTCCGTACTACTTTCTGCATCGCTGATGCATTAAATGTAACAATGCATTGTTAAGATGCAAAATTTGGGTTATCTCTGTGAACTTGTTTAGGATCACCACAGTACACAGACACCTTTAAAAAGACCATCCAGGCTGTGAATGCAATTTGAATCCATGACAAGCAGTTAGCCCTCTCACTATACTGCCTGAAGTAAAGCTGCACCCATGCAAAACTTCCTGTAGCAACCAGCTTTCTCTTTTCATTACCAAGTTTCACTTTTACATCCTAAAAGTGGGACACTGTACTGTATAACTAGTCAATGGAATTGATTTAACAGTAGAAGAAAAGCTCAATAATAGACACGCAATTTCAATTACAGATTTCATCACGTTAATGACATTTTCACATTTACTTTCCAAGAACATCCACTTCAGGATTTCACTAACACAAATGTATGTAGCTTCACTGATTTACTACAGCAGAACAGAGTAACAGAAGGGCAAAAAACTGCTATTGGAACAAAATCCCGTCTTCTTTTACCCACAGATTTTTTTAAACCCCTGGAAATAAAAGGCTATCATGAGGCAAGGTGCTATTCTCTGAAGTATTTTAAAATATTAGCTTTATTCTCAGATGGGCTACAACTGAGCTACTGTTGCAATAGACAAACAGAACTCCATGCTTTCAGCAAGCTTTTGGTGTATTACACAAAGGAGAAGAGAACTTTTAGAAAGACTTCCCATGGCTGAGACCACCAAAGTTGCACATACCTAGCAGAAGGACAAATGGATGTCAAGGGAACAGAGCCTACATTCCAGACTCTACAGAGGATTTACAGTCATTTTAATTCACAATGGGAAAAAAAAAAAAATACCACCAAACAACAACCCAACTCTAAAATGCTCTTCTGTGCAAAAATTCCCCTCTTGTATATCTGTTTTGTGCAGAGAAATTCCTGACTTCATCATCATTATTTGAATTTAATCCCCACCACCACATTCCAGAATTTTAGGGGTATCTGTATTCCAGGGGCAAACTGCTGGGGCCGGCTTGTCGCATCCCTCTGGTTTTGCAAACTGCTGTTTTGATGCCATCTTTATTGAGGGAGGGATGGAAAAAAAAAAAAAAACAAAACAGATTCAGAAAGTGCAGGAGTCTGAATGATAGCAAGTGATAAAAGAGAAACACTGACACAAGCAGATGAGAAAAAGCAAAATGAGTAATTGCCTGGAATGGGCGTATTGAGGAAGCATGATACATGAGCTACAACTTTAGGACTTACACCACTATTGATCATTATTTCTGAAAAGTCACAGTCAGTGTGGAGCACCTTGTAAAGCTGCAAAAAAGCAAGTAAATTATAAAATAGAATTAAACTCATCCTAATCATTACAACTAAATGCATTCTTAGTATGATTGCACTGGGATATCTGACTAAGAAAAACCAGAAATATGAATAAGTGGATTCTGGAATTGTTTTATTGGTTGTGGCACCAAGGTTCTGTGTTTGTAAATATATCATCTATTATTAAACAAGGTCTATAGTTTAATATATAATATTCTAACATTAAAAGAAAAAAAAGTATCTTCTCCCCTAAACCAAACTGACAGAGGTAGAGAGTAGTTTCCTTCCTCAAATGTTACTGAAGAGCAACTAGACAGTAAATCTGCACAGTAATAATTTTTTCTACTCTTATACCGATTGGGTTTTAGGCCTTAACACTTGACAATTTGGGTTTTAGGGTTAACCAGACTTTCTGAAATTTACCTTGTAAGAGCAGGAGTAGCCATGCCAGCTTGCACTTCAATAGCCATAGGAATACCTCCACAGCGGATATTTCCCAGCTCTTCTGCCACTGCAATGCTATAGGAGAAGTCCAAGCCCATGCCACCATATTCTGAGGGAAAAAACAAATCTATGACACTCATGTTGTAGACTGGCATAAGCAACAAGAAAAAAAAAAAAACAAATAATATTGCTGCTGCAATGACTTGCCAACTACAATTCCATTGCTAATTTTTAAATATTTGACAATTATCAGCTTTCTCTTCAGAAAAGAGATGCCACACTGTTCTTTACAAAACCTGAATTTAAAATTACACCTTCTTTAATTACCCATGTGCACATCAGGTCACCTCTGAATATCCTAAGTAGCCTAATTACTTTTACTGGGAACAGCAGGAAAAAGTGACATGCTGCAGAAAATCACATCAGAAGGCAAAATTATTCTTTCTAACAGTAAGGTCATATGAACAAATCACCACAAAGTAAGAAGGTTTTTATTTCTCCACAATAACACCTGACACACGGTCTCACAGACACCCTCCCCCCCACAACCCCCCCGACTGTACACTCAAGCATCTTTCTCAATGCAGCAGTCAAGTTGGCACACAGCAAGACCACGTGCAGGTCGCATCCCCATGTTAAGTTACTGCCGTAGTTCAGTATCCACACTGGACACAAGTACAACACCGAACACACGTATTTCATATCCTGGCACCTGGTTGGTGCAGTCATTAAAGCATTTTTCATTAGCAGGAGGCTGACGACCCAGGGCATTGGTCGGGTGCCAGCACAGATCGTTCCTCCTCCCCACATTCCAATCTGTAAATTCAATTAAAGAGGATATTATTCTTCACTTCCTTCCCATGCCCAGCACTGATAAACCCCCCATATAGCAAAACACAGAAAAGGGCTATGTTTCTATGATGGATGAGGTAATTTCTAGTGGTAATAAATAGTTTATAGTCCAAAGGAAATACAGTGAGAAAGAGAAGGTTACTGCTTGACATCATTAGTTGACTGAGAAGCTTTGATTAGATAAGTTTCCTTTTTTTTTTTTTTTAACTCATTTGAAGACCAACTAAGAAAGTTTCAAATAAATAGATATGAGCCCCCACCCCTCAACACACATAATAAAGGGCAGACAACCCTCTTCCCTTTTCACTTGCTAGTATCAACCACTATCTGAGCTCACCCCTCTTCTGACCTCCTTTGAAGTTTTCTAAAAACACCGTAAATTAAAAATCAAAACACCACAGTGCATATAAAAATAGGGCTTTGTATGCCATCATCAGTTTCCTAAACTCACTGAAACTATCTCTGCATTGTTTTTCTACGGAAAGAAAGGAAAGCACAAATGGAAAAGCCTAGGGGTGAAGTCCAGTTTTCAAATAACATTTCTCCTTAGGTCATCCAGAATAGTCTGGGTTGTCAGAATTAAAAAAATAGCTACTTTTCCAAACTTTAACCTGAAAATAAAGAATGTTTCTTAAAATCATAAACAAAATTAAGATTCTTATCGGGAACTTAAGTGGTACAATGAAAAAACAGTAATATGGGAATGTGTTTAGCATAATATACAATCCAATTCTCTTGCCTTTACAAAGCTCCCATCAATGAATAAATGATCTGAGGAAAAGTAAGGAATGTATGCACATGCAAAGGCAAGGCTATTTAAAGATTTGTGGTATGAGAGAGTTTTTGCTAATTTTATATGAAACTATAGCAGAGTTATAATAGATAACCTCAGTTTTGTCACCACACAAATGCTTTCCACTTGATTTTATTTGTTTAAAATCAGTCAATCATTTTATTGCTAAACTACAGTAATTACTAATTTTGTCTTTGGTTTTGTCTACCAAGCAGTTAAATTCCTGTCTTAATCACACAAATCAAAACCTTAGTTTCTTGATTTACCCCAAGTAACTTCACAGGAGAAATGCTACACACAAAACTGACCCAAAGAAGGACCTTTTTATGCAAGTCTATGGCTTACATACATTCTTTTTTCATACCACAATCCATTATATATTACTCTGTAACAGACTTGCCTTGCCCTCATCTGAGATTTGTTACTAACTGGTACATTTTAAAAACAAAATGCTGCAAAAGGCCAGCTCTCAAAGGGATGACATTGAGGAATTTCTTACTAAAGCGAGGAAACAATAAGAATGAAGACTCAGAAGCTGGGAAGGTGGAGTGGGGGAAGCCCTACCAGGGGGCTCCAAAGATTTTATTATCTGGGGATAGATAATGCAAGAGTCAACCACAGATGCAGACAGGCAGGAAGGGCAGAAGCAAATGGTAAAAATACTAATCAGTCAACACCTAACTTTTCATCAGTTCTGTTCCAGAAGCCAAGGAGAAAGAGTTTCATGAAGAAAAGTGAGTGGTTTGGCAGATAATTATAGAGAAGAGTTTCCTTTGAACCCAAAGTACTTGACCAAGACAGAGATTCACTTCCCAGTGCAGAAGGCAGCTACATCCCCAAGTAACTTGGGTAACCTATGCCATGGCTAAAGACACTTGTGTCCCATCTCTTTGGAGATCTGGATGTCTGTGCCAAGACGTGCTGCCAGCAGTGTCACACATGGTGACAGCAGGCAGCGCTGGCTCCGAGCACAGATGCAACCTTTTTTTTTCCCCCATCACAGGTTGGCAGCCTGGGTTCCACATCCCCGCTGCCCGCGCTCCAGCAGCTACAGCGGGTGGTCTGAGCACCTCGCCCTGCGTGCGGTGGGAGGCAGCTCTTAAACTGAGACAAAACCACCAGGCTGCTCTTATTTCCACCTGCTGCAGCAATGATGGTGAATGGTTTACCAAATGAATGTTCCATTTTTATTTGGAATAAGTCTTACTCTTTTTGGAATAAGTTTTATTTGCAATAAGGGAATAAGCTCATGGTAGAAGGGTCATGTTTGCCAGTCTCATCAACAAACACCAACTCCTGGAAGTATCCATACAATGATGTAATGCTAATAGGTCAATTTAATATTCATTCAGAAAAGCAAGCACCATATCTAATATAATTTTTGGTGGAAATTCCATAATGAAAGGAATCAAATAATTTTCAGATGTAATTGCCTTTTTTTTTTATATAAAAAAAACACAAAGCAAAACACTACGCTATATGTTATTCACGTGTAAAACATTTCTAGAGCAAGTATTTGATTTAACTTTAAAATGAGATGAGTGACCTTCAGAGAACTGTTTGGCTACATTTCCATTTTTAATTTGCAAGAAACATTAAAAGAAAAAAGCAAAGAAAAACTAGGCAGAAAGTCTAATGCACTAATGTTTTTATAATTCAAAAAAAGTAGAAAAAGGCAACTCTGCTGTATTCAAATTGTTACTGTTTTGCTGACAATAGCACAACTTCCAGCTGTTAAACAGCTTAATTTGATATCTTATCCACTGTTCGATTTCAGGTTCTTTTACAAATAAATTATAAAGCCCAAAGCAAGAACACATGAACATGCAAAGAAATAAAGATTCTGCACTGCAGACCATGGGCAGGACCCATGCTGGAGTATGGGCAAAGTATGAGGAGGAAGGAGAAGCAGAGAGGAGGTGCTAGGGATGGACTGCAACCCCCCACGCCCCTGCGCCGCTCGGGTCGCAGGGAGGGAGATGACTCAGGAATGAAGGACTGAAACTGAGCCTGGGAAGAAGGGGGAGAGGATAGGTGGAACACATTGTTTTAATTTGCCTTTCTTTCTCACTATACAAATCTATTCTAATTGCCAGCACATTAAATTAATTTTCCCCAAACCAAGTCTGCTTTGCCTGTGACAGTAACTGGTGAGCAGTCTCCCTGACTTTATCTCAACAGCTGAGCCTTGCCATCATATTTCCTCCCTTGTACTGTTGAGGAGGGGGAGTGAGTGAGCAGCTGCTGGCCAAGGTGAACCTACCACACTATGGTCAGTATATTAACCTATTTTTCTTTTAGATTGGCACTGTGCTTTTCTACTAATCACCATCATCACGTTATTTTAGCATGCTTTCCCCAGCCCCCAGCCCCCCAAAAAACAAAACAAAACAAAACACAGTCATTATTTTATAGAGACCAGCTTATTTCTACATGTTAATTTTGTGACATTGCCAGTGGGGTGGCAGCCCAATAGAAAACAGCAGGTTTTAAAACCCATCGTTTTTAAAAGATGCAGATGTACATTCTACCAAATCTGACAACTTAGGGTACCAGGACTTTTATATATGAATATAGGCAGACAGCAAAGATGATGCCCAAAAATACAAATAAAAGAGCAAGACCATCTGATCTTCAGCTGTAACACGTCAAAACAGAAACACTGCTGAGAAGATCAGTTGGGAAAACAAAGGCAAAGAATTTCTATGAAAAATGGCTTATGAAGGCCAAGGAGAAGCTGAGGTCTTTCATATAATTGTCTCATTTTTTTGAAGACCAACACATTTCTTGTCACTTGTTCAGCTACAGGATCCCTGTTCAAATATGACTCCGTTCAACGATGAGACAGACTTGAAGTCTCTAGTCCAAATTTTCTAAAAGTTTAGAAGTGTCTCTATTTGGAATTTGCTTCTGAACCCCACCTAATAGCTGTCAGTGGGAATGACAACATCCATGGTGAAAAGGGTCTATAAGTGAGTTGAATCAAGGTAAAACAGGGAGTCTTTGGAATGTTTTAAGAATGTGAGTGAGCCTGGAAAAAGTAATGGCAAAACCACAATACACCCATATCGGTAACTCAGTCTTAAATTCCTATATAATTTATCTTGTTTGTTCTCCTAACTTCCAAAATTCACATACAGTATATCTACACCAAAGGAAATTATGCAGTATTATTTCTACTATTGGCACCTAACTCAGCAGAAGAAAAAACAAATGTGTGCTCTCATTTCTAGTGACTAGAAAGACAAATAAAACATGAATCACCTCCCATTTTGAAGATAGGTCTGAGAGACTCCTACATTTGACACTACGATGACAGAGCTAATTGCCAGTTTTCATCATAGCCTACAATTTCAAATCAACAGAAGTAAAATGTAAGTGTTCAAACCTTACTCACCTGTCATAAATATAGTTCAAAAATTTCAACTCCAGAGGACTACAGAGAGCCCTGAAGTTACATAATT